TGTAAAATGAATGAATTTTCTGAAATTCAGAGTGACCGTTTCCAAATTATGGCAACTAGTCTTTTATCTACAGGAAGCTGGGTGTGAGTAGGATTAGGTATAGGGTGGGGAGGAAAACATAGCCAAAAACCTGGGTGGGGGTAAAGAGGCATTGATGAAAGTTAGGGTTTGTTGATAGGGGTAAAGAGGCATTGATGAAAGTTAGGGTTTGTTGATAGGGGTAAAGAGGCATTGATGAAAGTTAGGGTTTGTTGATAGGGGTAAAGAGGCATTGATGAAAGTTAGGGTTTGTTGATAGGGGTAAAGATGCATTGATGAAAGTTAGGGTTTGTTGATAGAGGTAAAGATGCATTGATGAAAGTTAGGGTTTGTTGATAGGGGTAAAGATGCATTGATGAAAGTTAGGGTTTGTTGATAGGGGGGTAAAGAGGCATTGATGAAAGTTAGGGTTTGTTGATAGGGGGGTAAAGAGGCATTGATGAAAGTTAGGGTTTGTTGATAGGGGAAAAAGAGGCATTGATGAAAGTTAGGGTTTGTTGATAGGGGTAAAGAGGCATTGATGAAAGTTAGGGTTTGTTGATATAGGGTAAAAGAGGCATTGATGAAAGTTAGGGTTTGTTGATAGGGGTAAAGAGGCATTGATGAAAGTTAGGGTTTGTTGATAGGGGTAAAGAGGCATTGATGAAAGTTAGGGTTTGTTGATAGGGGTAAAGAGGCATTGATGAAAGTTAGGGTTTGTTGATAGGGGTAAAGAGGCATTTATGAAAGGTGAGAGGTGGTGGGTGGGGGTAAAGAGGCATTGATGAAAGTTAGGGTTTGTTGATAGGGGGTAAAGATGCATTGATGGAGGTGAGGGGTGGTGGGTGGGGTAAAGAGGCATACATGTATATGGAGGTGAGGACGTGGTGGGTGGGGGTAAAGAGGCATATATGGAGGTTAGGGTTTGTTGGGTGGGGGTAAAGAGGCATTGATGAAAGTTAGGGGTGGTTGATAGGGGTAAAGATGCATATATGAAAGTTAGGGTTGGTTGGTGGGGTAAAGATGCATTGATGAAAGGTTAGTTAGGTTTGTGGATGGGGGTAAAGAGGCATTGATGAAGGTTAGGGGTGGTGGGTGGGGGTAAAGAGGCATTGATGAAAGGTGAGGGTTTGTGGGTGGGGGTAAAGAGGCATATGATGGAAGTTAGGGTTGGTGGGTGGGGGAAAAAGAGGCATATGATGGAGGTGAGGGGTTGTGGATGGGGGTAAAGATGCATATATGGAGGTTAGAGGTTGATGGGATGGGGTAAAGAGGCATATATGGAGGTGAGGGGTGTTGGGTGGGGGTAAAGATGCATATATGGAGGTGAGAGGTTTGGGGGTAAAGGGGTAAAGATGCATGGATGTGAAGTGGGTGGGGAGGTAAAGATGCATATATGGAGGTGAGGGGTGGTGGGTGGGGGTAAAGAGGCATATATGGAGGTGAGAGGTGGTGGGTGGGAGTAAAGATGCATATATGGAGGTGAGAGGTGTGTGGGTGGGGGTAAAAGATGCATATATGGAGGTGAGGGGTGGTGGGTGGGGGTAAAGAGGCATATATGGAGGTGAGGGTGGTGGGTTGGGGTAAAGAGGCATATATGGAGGTGAGAGGTGGTGGGTGAGGGGGAGTAAAGATGCATATATGGAGGTGAGAGGTGGTGGGTTGGGGTAAAGAGGCATATATGGAGGTGAGCAGGAGTGGTGGGTTGGGGTAAAAGAGGCATATATGGAGGTGAGAGAGGTGGTGGGTGGTGGGTAAAGATGCATATATGGAGGTGAGAGGTGATGGGTTGGGGTAAAGAGGCATATATGGAGGTGAGAGGGTGGTGGGTGGGGGTAAAGATGCATATATGGAGGTGGGGGGTGGTGGGTGGGGGTAAAGATGCATATATGGAGGTGAGGGGTGGTGGGTGGGGTAAAGAGGCATATATGGAGGTGAGGGTGGTGGGGGGGTGAGGGTGGTGGGTGGGGTAAAGAGGCATATATGGAGGTGAGGGGGTGGTGGGTGGGGATAAAGGCATATATGGAGGTGAGGGGGGTGGGTGGGGGTAAAGATGCATATATGGAGGTGAGGGGTGGTGGGTGGGGTAAAGAGGCATATATGGAGGTGAGAGGTAATGGGTTGGGGTAAAGAGGCATATATGGAGGTGAGGGGGGGAGAGGGGTAGATGTGAGTAAGGAGGAATATGAGGTTGAGGGGTGGTGGTAGGGGGTGAGAAAGCATAAAATGTAGAACAAAAACAAGACATATGTCACATATTTATTTTATATAAAATTTAACATTATTTAGGGACTCAGGGACTGGTAATTTGATATACGCGGGTTCCACGAAAATACTGCTACACGTTATTGGGCTTGTGGCTTAACAACGTTAACTGGAATTGGGGTTAAATATTATACAGCCCTAAGACCATTTCTCTGCCATCCGCGCACGCACGCACGCACGCAAACACACACACACACCACACACACACCACACCATATCTAAATGACTAGTCCTTTAGTCAGTTCAATTCGCCTCATGCGATCTGTCAATTATAATCAGTACATTGTAAGTGTATTTAACGATTGTCTTGGAGAATGTTTAAGTAACGCACTGCGTGTGTATAGATTTGTCACAGAACCGGAATGGCGATGCTACTGACATAGAGAGGGTCGATAAAAGACACTTTGTTCCTTGTTTCCGCCGGTGTCACGTTCACCCTGCATGTCACGTCTCTATAGGCGATGTCGGGGAAACCCTAACCGCTTGGTCATACGTATTTTCCACGACGATCCACAAAGTACGTACCTGCGATTAACACATGCCAATTCACTACAACGCAATACACCTTTACCCCATTTCTAGTATATAGTGTTTGACAAAGAAAAATTGCGGAAATAAATGCTTTATTTAGGTAGCCACGCGGGGTTTCCCCTGCATCTTTATAACCTTTCTGCGTAGTTACGCTAACATACCACAGATATGCGACAGTAGTTGGAATACACATGTATTTCCCCGGGCGCCGGCACAAGGACCGTGTTGGGAGACGCATGTACTTCCCACATAGTGACTGTTTTCACTATTCATAGTGTATTATATTCATAAATAGACAACTCCACCTTTATTACGTTATTTTACTGAGAAGTAAAGTACAAATAAAAAGTACAGATGATAAATTTCACAAAGCTCATTGAATCATGGTGTGTGTTTTTTATCAGGCACTATATGTTCGTAACGTTTGCATTGTTCAAAGAAGGATTTTGTCGGTTACCTTGCAGATTGAGACCTGACTCAGGATGTCCTCAATCGAATTAGGGTGGAGGGTAATTGTTCATCATGAATAGCTATCATGCAGTTGAAACTTATAGATATGCATGTACATGAATTATGCAACGGACATAACCCGATTCCGTAACTGTATAGTAATGTATACTTACAATGTTGATATATGCATGATAGCGCATTTTGATAGCATTACAGCATTTGCTTTAATACTGTATAATCAGTTCGGATATACTTACTTTACTTATACCTGCTACGCCCATCAGCGTGTAGGCCAGCAACACAGAATCCCCACACTTGTCTGTTCTGGGCTAGGTGCTGTATTGTACCCCAGGTTTGGTTTAGGGTCTTCAGTTCGAATAAAGATGTGTACTTAACTAATGTATGGTGTCAGTTTCAATGAGGAATTAATGTATGTTGTAAGGGGGTAACATATGCGTTACATAGCCGTATAATATCGGTATCAATACTCGCTTGCTATACCCATGCTCATAATTATACTCACCCCTATACTAGGACGCATATACCAAGGGGTGACGACAATATCCAGGAGCATGGATGTATGTGATTTGAGTTTGTAAATCTGTTTTTATGTTTGTGGTAATAACGTATTATATCAGTTCAGATAGGCAAACGATGCATGTTTCAACCGTGCAAAATATTAGTTTTGGTACATGTAATTCATGTGCTTAAACAGTATATATATTGCTATTGTAAACAAATGTAATAATCATGAGTGATATCGATTTTGATAATAGCTGTATTTAACTTGCCAAAACAGTGTTTTATAAAGATATATGTTTTTATAGTATCCATTGTCATGTGGTTGTATAACATACGATTATATGCTGTCCGCTTTAATTTATGTACAGAGAAATTCTCAAAACAAACTCGTTTATGTTGTACGTGTAGTCGTCTCTTCACGCATCACTTGATGTATACACAAATACTTTTTCCGCGGCCTTATGAAATAGTTGTTTCATAATCAGCCACCCTAATTGAAGAATCGACGATGAACATCCTTTGGTAAAAAGTGAGATCCATATCCAAGTGCCATGAAGAAATATCAGTTTGACGTGCTGCCAAAAGCTCATTATGCAATTACATGTATCCCATGACTTGAGTTTGACCTTGTGGCCGTGAGTAAATATATATGGACTATACACGTATAAGTAACTAATCCTATTATATAGCCTTCTACGGGGTACCAAAATATGGCCACTTAAACACCTTATAATACCCTATTGACCATGCATGACAACCACTGGTTATAGGTTCACTGGAAATAAGCCGATTAGGTTTGCGAGCCACTTTATCTGCTTATATAGAGCTTTGGCAATACCAACTTCTAAGCCCCTTACCAAATATCAATGATACTTATCGTAACTGTTACCTTGTTACATGTCCTGAACATACACGTGCATTAGTTTCAACAATTACTTCAAAGAAACAAGCATAACATGGTAGCCTGGTTGTTAAAGCGCTTGTTTGTGTACCGAAGATCCGGGTTCGATTCTTCCCTTGGGTAAAATGTGTGTTGCCCTTCTTTACACAAGTAAATTATTTTCAGATTCGATGAAACCAGTTCGAAAACAGTTACGATGCAATTTTACGAATATAATGACACATTTGTCAATATTAATGCAACATGCGGCAGTGGAACACAAATGCTCAGTTGATCTTTTAAAATGGTAAAAACTATTTCCTTCTGTTTCCAGGGCAACAGAGAGAAACGGTGACCAGTATGTGTTTTCCTCTGCCCCGACCGTACCAAGGGAAAAGGCCCCTGACATTCTTGTCAAGTTCCAGGCGGTCAGTAGAGAGCATCCGTGCTTGCGAAGCTGTTCTCTTTTTCTCAGTTCCAAGTCAAGTCTACTGGAGATCCGCAAGATCATACACAGCACCTTTGCACCATGCTATGAAAAAGGATTTATTTTCCTACGGAAGAACAAAGAGGTGGTACGGTCCAGAGAGAGAATCCTGCGGTTGTTTGACATCCTTCCGAGGCCACCACCCAAAGTTCAAAACCCTGCCTTTAGATATCAGAACGTACAGTACAAAAAGGTAACACTGAACCACTTCTCTGCTTCATGTTTCACATTTGTGGTCTGGGTTTTCATATATAACACATATATAGTGTCTATAGTTAGATAGTGTGTATCGTGTAGGAATACGGTTAAAACGGTCTTTGTGCCGAATCAGAGGTGTCATATTTCGACAATATAATATAAATATCACCTATTCATATATGTAAAAGTTTACACATCCAAAGTTGCATTATCAATTAATTTTCTATTACAAAACATTTTTCATTATAGTGATGACAGAATAATTTCCAGGAATGTATAGTAAAAAAGCGGGTATTAGGTGGTTTCAGTGCTTTGTAGGATCGTGGGTCACTCCACCTCAAGATGCTGCTGACATTATCAGCCAGTGTATTCTGATCCACATTTCTTACCTGAGAAATACTGAAATACCACTTACTACATGACTGATACATTGCAGCTGACATTCGAGAAGGACGGCCGTCGCTATGCCTCGATGTGCTGTGGGATGGTGTTCCTGTATGAGGACAGCGGACTAAGTCACTGGATCCCCGACACCCTGAATGACGCCCTCAGCGCCCCCACCATCTCGGGCTTGGATTATATACCTTGGAGCATCACATCAGCAAGGGAGGAAAGTGATGGTAAAGTTTTGCCTTCAGTGAAAATTACCCATATTTTGCTGACCATCGTAAACATTGTTAGTTGGAATAATTATTTGTTTTGACTGAATCTTTAGTCTTCAAAATTCTTAACTGTAGAAACTGTAGGAACAATACAAGACAAATCTTATGGATAACAACTTCTTGATTTATTTTTCATAACGTTTCTGGGCTAGTTCTTGTCCCTTCTTCAGGTGGAACAATGGAACTACCATGTCACAGTCTCTTATTACCGTTTATTACATTATTCATATAACATAAATATACGTGTCAAATAAATGTAGACATTTATAAATCTTTTTTATAGGTAGTATTTTTGGTTTAAGATGTGTCAGTATATGCCCTGAACGAGTATGCTGCATTGGGCAAGGAACGGGAGCTAAGGGAACTTCTGGACACCATCCCACCGGGAACTGAGCTACAACATTTCAGAGACAGTAGAGCTGCAACCCCTCTACACTACGCAGCACAGAATGGCCACGTTGCCGTGTGTGAACTTCTTATTGGTCGCTTCGGAAGAGAAATACTGTACATGAAAGACACAAACAAGAGAACACCCCTTCATTGTGCACTTACGTTTGGAAAGTTTGAAGACTCAGGATTTGATAAGAGGCAAAGTAATGAAGATGGGCGTCTTGATGCCAAACTTGATGTGGTTTGCTACCTTCTGCAACTCGGTCCAGATTTACAGTGTCAGGACGTCCAAGGACTCAACTGTTATTGGATACTTTTCACCCTCGGAAACAAGACGCTAGATGAAGTTATTAGGAAAACTGAACTGAGTCTCTTAGATGATAAACTGATCCTGCATCTGACCTGTTATTCCCTTCAGTACAGGAAACTGGAATTTGCCCGTGATCTCTGCAAGCTTGTGAAGGTTTTCGACGCAGTGTTTTACCTGCCACCCTTACACTTGGCAGCTGAAGTTGGAGAGAAGGACCTGGTGGAGTCGTTGCTGCGTAAGGGGGATAGGGGTGAGGTAATACAGCCTGATATAAGAAACCAGCACGACCAAGATGTTGAGAACACGACAGAGGCACATGATCCAAAAGAAAAAGACAGAGATGGACATCTCCCATTTCACTATGCATGCCAACATGGAAATGGATCTATACTTTCTCTGTTGTATTTTGATGAAATGTCAGATGCTGATTTTGTTAAAGGAATCCGACTTGCAGTCCAGTGGAAAAAAACATCTGCTCTTCAGACAATAGTTCAACTCAGGGACCTCTTCTTTCTTGATATCAGGACCAAGCAAATGGTTATATATGAGGTTGAAGAAAACTTCTCTGTTCACCCTGAACATTCGAAAGCATGTATGGCATGTTTGAAAATAGAAGAAAAGATACTTGTCAGGTTTGTATCTCAGGCTGCTCGTGTTGGAGACATTGCATCTCTAAACTGGCTAGTAGAGCAGGGTACGAATTTGAACCATAAAGATATCATGGGAAGAACACCTTTGCATGAGGCTGCACAGATGGGACACACGGAGTGTATACAGTTCCTTTTAGCTAGCAGCGCTGATCCAAACGATGTTGACTGGAGAGGTTCAACCGCTCTTCATTATGCATGTATGTCAGGACAAATCCAATCTGTAAATGCGCTTCTTCAAAATGAACGAACTGTGCCAAATGTAAAGGATGTGTGTGGTAGGACTCCATTGCTCGTTGCAGCACACTGTAAGAAAGTTGACCTGCTAAAGATTCTTGTTAACACATACCTCAGACAGTTAGATCCACATGCTCAGGATATGAAAAGAAGATCAGTCCTGCACTACCTGTATTTAATGGACGTTGAGACAGCACAGACAATGCTTACCCAAATGAAGGATCTACCTACCATTGAGGATGCTGTATTTGAACCAAAGAACATGCCATCATTTGTGCCTATTTGTGAGGTGTGGAGAGATCAAACTCTTGATCTGAAAGAAAAAAGGAGAAAACTAAGTAAGCAAACAGTCAAAACTTCCAGAATGAGATGCAAGAAATGTAGGAAGACTTGGACTGTTCTTGGAGATCGTATCAGGTAGGTTTTAGTAACATATTCTTATTATTTGTTTCAATATATATTCATGTAACGTACATGTATGATATCTTTGTATGTGCTGAAGCGTTCGTTCACCACGCTGGAGACCTGTGTTAGATTCCCCACGTGGGTATAATGCGAGAAGTGTAAAACCTTAAACGTCACATAAACCCTAGGGGGTACAAATACATAAATCACTAACTGGCATCGTTATAAATAAAACCCCGTCATTAAAACTACTCATTTCGACCTTTAATTGACTTAAATCGACCTTTTTGACAACAGTGCACAATTCTCACCCGCGAACGAAATTTCAACCAATCAGAGCGGGGCGTCTCTGTGACGTCATATGAGGAATAGCTATGAGGGCCTATGCAGAATTCATCTACATTTCAGGGGGTAAATTATCTTGTTTACAGGTTTGTATAAACCTGAAATCGTGACAACCGTTGTGGAAAATGAAAGCTATATGTTTTCGCAATCTACTGTCATTTAATTTTGTCTCCTGCTTTGCCTAGTTTCCGAGTTACAACTTGTTTTCATAGACGATTCTGTCAAAATCGCTTGGTGTCGTTAGGCCTTATTTGTATAATGACTGGTCCAAATTGATCCCATTTCTGTGTTTTTTTACCTTGATATTTAATCATGTCATGTAAAAATCTGTTTGTATTCTCAAAACAGTCTCGGCCCATAAGTTTTTACATGCAATACAGCAATTAATACTCCCTTGTTGTAACCCGTGTTAGGTGGTATAAACCTACACATGTTATTTGTCATCATTCACTTGATGGTCAGTTAATGAATTTATAACAGGTATAATTAGTGGTAACACACTTAGATTACCCGACAAAGGTTCCCATTTGGCATTTCTTGTGTCTGGAGTAAATATTCAACATTATAAACATCGATCAAAGGATTAACCGATAACACGCTGATTGATTAATTACTTTTATCTTACACAGCGGAATTGTCAAAAGGTAGTGTTTATGTATGTAGATTTACTAATCTATACTGAATACACTCTGTCGTGTCTGCGAAGAAACAACGTCCTTCTTTCAAAGGATTAACCGGCAATACGTTGATTGATTGCCCATTATTGGCTAACTAAATTACTGTTTTTAAAGAAAGGCGGACATTATGCAATTAGTTGCCAGGTGTGCTATCTTGGGTGACCAATGAGACTATACACCAATACCTGAAAAGATTTATCACTTTTTCGTATATTAAACTGTTAAAAGACACATCATTTGGAACTGTTTTGTGGATATTGATGGATACATTCCTTGAACAAGGTAATGGTCTGATATTGTTCCCATAACTTTAATCTGTTTTAATTTTAATATTTGCATTTTGTTTTTATTCATTTGTCGTAGCATTCAACAGAATCATTGTTTTCGCCGTGAAGTGTAATGAGACAGACAATATACACTAGGGTGTGTGTGCGAATTATGATTCACATTGGCAAACTATAAAATGACCTGTTTGATGGGCATTTAGAAGTTGAGTTGATGAAGAATAATGACAATTATTATGGATATACAACTTCCATTATTCTGTGGAGGCGACGTTTCGACATAGGTTCTAATGTCGTTGTCACTTGCTTGACAACGACATTAGAATAATCGAAACGTCGCCTCCACAGAATAAAAGAAGTTGTATATCCATAATAATTGTCATTATTCTTTAAACTATAAAATGTCTAGATATTACAGTTCTGTTATAAATTCACTATAAGTATCAGCAGATCGTCTGCTTTTTATTTCGTTTCAAAATGCATGCAAGTATGATAATAAACTAATTAGGATTATAAGACCAAATATAAAGATGCACATTGACTAGTATCTACATACTGGTGAGTGGACATTAACCATGTGAATGTAGCAAGAAATTTATCTCGCAGTATTGTGACTTCGACCCCCATCTCGCTTCCGTGGAAGAAATCGTTATGTTATAGGTTGTGTCATGCAAAATCCGTTTGGTTATGATTCCAATACATATTTAACTACGAGTAGAAAGTAGTTTTGATTTTCTAACTTGATGAAAACAAACTATAATCTCATTAATTCTAACAGACTTCACGATTTTAAAAAATGGCGGCGCCCTGTCGGGAACATCCGCCAGTCTGAGGATAAATGCTATTTAGGTTTGTTTTCACCGAGTTACAAAATCAAAACTACTTTCTACTGGTAGTAAAATATGTATTTTATTGATGGCCAATAGGATTTTGCATGACATAGCGTATAACATAACAATTTCTCTCCTGGCAGAGAGGTGGGTGTCAATATAATACTACTTACAATATTATTGTTACTTCGACCACAACCTCACTTCCGAGGAAGAAATCGTTATGTTACAAGTTGTGTCATGGAAAATCTTTATGGTCATCAATCATATACATATTTTACTACAACTAGTAAGTAGTTTTGATTCTTTAACTTCCGTGAAGCGATCTGAACACAAGTAAGATATCGTTTCAAGCTTCCACAACGCTCGCTTCGCACTCACAAACATAACCCATTTAGCACGAACTGCGGGGTCCTGTGGAAATCTGTGCATGGTGACACCATCGCCCGACCTCTAGGAGCAATTGACAACAAAGCAACGATTCGGCATGTCGTCGTTGATGTCGAGAAATCATCAAAATGATGAGCGTGCTACACACTTTCTATACAACTCTCTGAAAATCGTTCCTCATATGACGTCACTGCAGTGCTCTGGCGACAGAGTTACGTAACCTGTCTGTGGTTTCGTTGGCGGGCGAGAGGGAAGCAGGCGACTTTTTGGCCACTTTTAATCGCTCGGTATTAATTAACCACAAGTTTTTAAAGAATAAATTTGGTGTTCCGCATAAGACTAACCACAAATCTTTCATATGTAATGGTTAAAAGAGTAACAAAAAACAAAGTTTATTGGTTCTTTAATCACTCATTGATTTAGAAGGATGAGGTGAGCACTGTATCTGAAGATATTATTCATTCCCTATTACACTGTGACTATATCAGAATAGTGTTATGGTACACTGCCACCATTCTAGGTCTTTTCTCTGATATGCTGCAACTTTCAACCTATCGTACAGTTTGATTACTTACATGCTTGTTGATGTCCTGAATCTGTCCATTACTCTTACTGTCTTATCTGAATGTCTCATCATGATATTGTCATGCCATGTCATAAAACAGTTCCTTCATTCTCTAACATTATGCAGCCATGTACTGGTGACGTAAATATGCTAGCATGCTTTTGCATGTGCTGTCGGCGAATACACGGCACTTAGGAGAGTTTAACAGTTGTATGTGGCCAATATATGAAATGTTCACCCTTATCCTTTATTTCCCATGTACACCCTGAAGAAACCATGAGTAGGCATTAAAGTGCAGATGTATATGTTGTACCATTATATCATTGTTCCAGATGGTTACACTTGTGCAAATCTGACGAGGCCTTGAAGGAGTCATTGGTCTCACCGAGTCACGCTGGCAAGATAGATTCTCCCAAAAAGACGAAAGTGCCGTCTGTACATAGTAAAAAGGAATATTGTGAGGAGATAGAATCACTACATGGACCATTCAAAACATTTAAATCCCACACAGAAGAAGACCAGTCCTTACCTCAAATACTAATTTTGATGAACAGGCATGATCTCTTAGAACTTGTTGCAAATATTCGCCCTGAACTACTGCAAAACCGTGCAAAACATGCTGCTTTACTAGCAGCTTGCTACTGGCACATAGACAGTTTGAAAGTCTTGATGTCTTTCTTGGATGCATCTCAAGAACTTATTGCAACACTTTTTCATTTAGCCTGTCTGCAGAAACCTCTAGACTCTACTCAGAAGGAACGACAGATCAGTGTTGTTAACTATCTCATAGAAGAGGGAGCACATCCGAATATCATACCAAAGAAGAATGATCTATACAGTACGATATCCTTGACATCTTATGAAAAACGTGTACTGTATTACAGTCCACTTGAACTAGGTGTGATAAATCAAAATGCATCATTGGTGGAAGTGCTGGTAAAACATGGAGCATCAAGTTCGATATGTTTTGCTGTTCATCTAGCAGCTGTATACGGCGACGTAAAAATGTTTGACTTTTTACTCAAAGAAAAGAAAGAGGAAGGTGATTCAATCATTGGAACAATAGACAATGTTGATGAACTGTGGCGTGTGTGTTCTCTAGGAATGGGCATTATACAAGCCCTGTGTAGTGCAAAAGAAATAAGCTTGAAACACATCCATTGTGTAATGCAGGCATTTCCAGATTCTCTGCAAAGCAAGAAACTTCTAACAAGGAGCATGGTTTTGGAAATTCGCCCAGACCTTGATATATCATCCAACTACTCAATCCTGAAATGCATCCTGTTCAAATTCTCTGACAGAAACAATGACATATCATCACTACCACATACATGGCTTGCAAATAGGTTAGGCAAGAAACCAGAAATTGAATACGTGCTTATGGAGCTACTGAAGAGGGGGCTTTATCTTGACGAAGTGCGTGTTTCAAAGAAAAGTACCGTTCATATTTCATGTGATATGTTCATGACAGTTCTCAACAAACGATGTTGGGTGGTAGCTGATGAGATTCTCAGAGTTGGGGGCACAACTCTGTGGCAGTGCCTATTGACCAAACACCATTCTTGTCACAGGCACGTGTATAAGATGGAGAAAGAGGACGCAAAGTCCTATCCTGTGCTATTTAAGACCTGGAACAGGCTGTTTGGCTATGCTCCGTTGTCAACATTGAAACTTTTCTTTCAACAAGGGCTGAAGTTTGTAAATACTCTTGACCTTGAACATCTTGAGGAGAAATTGTCTCCACTGTTGAAGGAATCACGCCATAAAAAGAGAATGTTTGGTGAAAACATCCTTACTCAGATTGCATCTCATCACATTGAAAGTCTGGATGTATCACGAAGGTCAATCTTCACAATCGCAAAACTTTTGATCCTCTTTCCAAGGCTTTTTCCTCAAGTTCTTGACAAAACTAGGGAGTTTCAAAATCTTAATGATTGGATGACTGTCATGCCGAGGGACGAGTTTACTCAAATGTATGGTATGCACACAAAGGGCTGGCACACAATTAAACTTCTCAGGAACATGACACTAGACAGAAAGCTGTTATTTTCTTTAACGAATATGGGACTGTCAACGTTGGATAAAATCGAAAACAGCGGAGCATCTCTGTTGCACTTAGTGAGCGTTCTAGATGATGTAGAGCTACTAAAAGCAGTTTGTGATAGTGTTGACCCTCTGCCTGTCTGTTCTGAGGATGCACTTGGAGCTACATGTCTTGACTATGCTGTAGCCATGGGTCATGAGAAAACAGTAGGATTTCTGTTGAAGAATGAAGCAAATGTCTCACAGCAGACCCTCCTTGCAGTATGTGTTGGTGCAAGATTCTTGAGTGAGTATTTAACATTTCTGCATTCACTGTCCCTTGGAAAACTGTTAATTCGGTTAAAGACCACTTTGAAAATATTTCAGTCTATCATGGTGTGTCTTCTAAATGAGTAAGCTAAATGTGTAAATCTAAACGTGACACCAAGGACATCTTCATATTAATACTCAGCAAAAACATGACAAATGTGGGATTCTAACATGATACAAACAATGAACGGAGGCCCATAGCAGCCTTCGAACAAGGTGAGCCTTTTAACGCATAAGGAGACACAGGGGTAAAATAAGCATGCGACCAATGAATCTGTAAATTTCACATTTGTTGTAACTGCTTACATTATAATTCAGTGCATAATTTAATTCACATTCTTCAAATCAGCGTTTATGCAATGGAAATACACGCAGTCCTCGAGAGTGACTGAAGAAGAAAGACAAACCAGAGACCTGAGGACATTGAGTTCAACGTAAGTCATACAACAGTTTGGATTCACCATCACTAAAATAATATGTTTATCATTAATTGTCACCGAGAGAATTATAGATACCATATTGCTATTAAAATCGCATCAAATCATAATTGTGTACTACACTGCCAATACTGTGTAATTCATGTACAATTCACCTATGATTACCTTGCAAACAAATTTCCAGTGGATCATCTCAAGACTTCAAACAGCAAATACTCTTTATCTAGTTTACAGATTGACGTGAGTTATCATCACCCAGTGTTTGGAAACGTGCTCAGAGTTGCCATAGAAGCCACCCACTGGAAGCTGGTTCAATTCATCCTTGAAAGTGCAAAAAACATTTCTACTGACATCCTTTGTGATCGGTATGTATCTATAGGTTTTTAGAATGCATATTAAAAGCCAAGTAGACTATTGAAAACCTAATAACAGATGTGATTTGGAGTTCATATCACAGTTGACCACGTTTTGTTTGTGCCACATGTAAACTACATGGTGACAGCAATTTTGCATGTTTTCATAATATTACAAAAAACGAATGAGTGTGCCGGCTATCCTGAAAAAAGAAAGGCAAATATATCTTACAATTTGACTGTCACTAGATTATGTCATATTAATATATTTTCAGGTTGGTTATCCTACCTCTGATAGGAAATGGTCCCTGGAAAACTTGCTGTTACCTTTTCGAAAACTATGGACAGTCCCTCATGATTGGAGCTTTTGATCTAGCACAGGAGGCTTTGTTTGCTGCCAGTGTTAAGGGCTCTGAACAAACTGCATTGCTGCTCTTCAAACTTCTTACTTCAAGATATGAAAGCCAGAGTAGTCTTCCAGATTCCATTATTAAGCTTCTGACTTGGGAAAATAGTTATGAAATGACAACCTTCCACAGTGTGTGCCAACAAGGAAACATTGATTTTGTGAAATATGCACTTAATTCGTTGGGAACATATGGATACAGTGCTGTTCAAAGTGTGGTTAATGTGAAGGACCACTCTCAATTGACACCTTTGTGGTATGCTCTCGCCAACAGGCATTTCAGTATAGCTGAATTAGTGTTGCTGCATGGAGGTATCCTGAGCTTGAATAGATCAGTCCCTGATCTGTGGCCAAAAAGGGTATTTACTCATGAAAGCTCTCATGGTTGTGAAGAATGGCCACAGCATCGGGATGCACAAATCGCGAGGAATGATTCAACAAGGGTGGCAGAAATCGTGTCTCCAAGGACGAAGACATTCCAGGAAGTATATACAAAATCCAAGAGGACGTCTCCCATCTATACGTCTGTGATGGAACACCATGTGCCCAAAGTAGGTCCCTTGGACACACTTAAACGAAAGGTCCAGTATTTGCTGGATCTATCAAAGTATTGTCAATCCCATTCTTCCAGCATCCTACATGGTGCTGCAGCCATTGGAGATCATGGACTTCTCCAAGAGATGTTAGGTCTGACAATGTCTCAACATATCCTTCAACTGGATACTTGTCCATCACCGTTGGTCTTTGCTGTAGCAAATCATCAGTACCAGTCATATGAAACACTACTCAAAAAGGTCACCAATGAACCGGAACATTTCTATGACATTCTGGCACTTGCTGCTTTAGAGACAACAGACGTTGATTTGTATGTACAGAAGAGGAAGAGAAAATCTCCTAAAGAAAGGATTTGCAAAGACGTCCTATCTGAACTTCAAGAAAAAGAAGATGCATTTAAGATCTTCCAGAAGCTCAAGAACAATAATTCACTTGGGACCAGACTAACACTATCAGAAATTTCTCTCTTGGTCAAATCAGCATTAAAGATATGCAAGTCCCATGTGCCAAATTCCCTTCTATCAGTTCTTGCATGTCTTGGGAAGGTTCAGCCATTACAGTTTTTACAGCAGATCGAGTATGAAGAGTTTAGACCACTTTTTGAAAGGAAGATATCTGGCGATTTGTTGTTCACTGACCTTTTGTTCATGTTTACAAACCATGCTAAGGGTGGCGATGTCAAAGACAGGGTAGATGTGTTGAGATATCTAGCCAATGAAATAGATCTTACTTTAAACACTAACACGATAGAACATGCTTTGAGAACAGATTTGTTTCCCATGCTGCATGAAGTAGTTCAAGATTACTCAAGAAAAGACAGAGCCTTTGAATCAGTAGATGTATGGATAAAGGTGCTGTATGATACCTCAAAGAAAGGAAATCTTGATTTAGTGACAGAAATTTGTCACCAACTACATACACGTGTGGTGTCTGACAAATCAATGCTGCTTTATAGATCACTATGTCTGGCATGCTATTGGAAAAGATCAGCAACAGTTGATTATTTTTTAGCCCAAAATATGAGGCTACAACAGGAAGCAAAGAACGTTACAGTCCTGGACAGAGGCAATTGGGTCCTGGATTTTGCTATTCTCAGTGGAAGCAGTGATATTGTACAGAAAGTGCTAGATGCACTTGATGCAAGTCGCACGATTGATAGTGTTAGAATCAGAGAGAGTATGGAGCTGGCTTCCAATCATGCAAATAATGCAGTCATTGCTACACTTGTTCAGTCCAGAATGGTCAGTGCAGTGCTTACAAAGGAATTTACAGAGAAGGTGCTATTGAGGACAGCTGCAAGAGGTCAAGAAAAGGCTTGTGTCGATCTTCTGAACAGCAGGCACCTTGATGTAAGACGGACTGATCAGTATGACAATTCAGTGTTACATTATGCATGTACATGGAATATGATGGCATTTATTGAAGTTATTCTCAATACTTCAAAGGATGATCTGAATTCAAGGAATAACTTCGGTCACACTCCTTTGGATCTCGCAAGAAGTATGGGTCACATAGCAATGGCTAACCATCTTGTGAACAAATACAAGGCATTGGCAACGTTTGATACAGGTCAAACAGGCTGGTTGAAATACCTCATGATGAAGAATGAATCAGCCCCTTCAGTACCAAGTGACCTCATGCCACCTTACACGCAAATACGAAGGCTTGAATCCAATGTGCACTCTCTTGTTAGTTATGGTGATGATCATGGCACATTAGCAATCATGGAGACATTACAAGAAAAACTTATTCAGATTATGATAGATTCAAAACAAGCACCTACACTGTTTCATCTTTGTGCAATTTATGGATGTAAAGACTCTCTTAAATTCCTTCTTACCCTCACTAAAGCACATGCTCCTGATAGACTAGTGGAGTGGTTACATCAGGTAGGGACACCACCCCTGATTATGGCCATGGAAACAAGGCATGTTTCATGTGTTAAACTTTTGGAGGAAGTGACAGACTGCTACAGTTGGAGATCTCCTTTGCAAGAAAATGTTCTTCATTTAGCTGCCCGTATTGGCAATCCTTCTATCGCCGAAACAGTCACAGTCAGAGCCCCAGAGTCAGCATTTACTGCCAGGGACAAAGGAAACTTGATTCCCCTTGCCACTGCTGTCGCTTATGGTAATCACCACATTTTGCAATATCTATGCAAGGGTGGAGCATTTGAAGAAAGTTCTCACGCAACACACAAAGTAACAGACTATTCTTGTGTGCATTGTCTGATGGATTCAGCAATTGGTTGGTCTAAGATGTTCCAGAGTGGATACATCCAAGCACCCAATGTTCCGGAAAGAAACATCCTCGATAGAAAGCCTTCAAGAGTAGGTTTCTGGCTTGATGTTCGTCCGAAGTTTGGAATGTATTCCTTGAATACAGATGAAGCTAAAAAGAAGCGATTCACACATCCCCTGGACACACTTTACACCTGGTCTAAAATAGCTCGTTCCAATGATGTTATGTTCAGTGCACTGGCAACGATGGGATATGGAAGGAATATTGTTAACACACAGTTGTTCTTGTTGAACAAAGAAAAAGATGTTCTCCAATGGGCACTAAAATCAGATCTAGAAGATGCAGCGTGTTTCTACTTCCAAAACACATCAACTGGACAAGAAAACATTGTTGAGGTGTGCTGTTATGCTGCACAAGCAAAGAAAAACAAATTCTTCATGACAGTTTTGGAGAAACGAACATATGCTGACTTGGTCACAGGGGAAATGCCTTCGCCTTTAGAAGTTGCTTTGGCATATGGGAATATGGAACTAGTCACTGCCATCAAGAACAGCGGGGCTACAGAGACGTATCCATTGCTACAAACTATCCAAGAAGCATTACCTGTGTCTATACAATGGAGAGTCGGGGTTTCTCAACCAGGTGATTATGACTGGCAAACAGACATGGACAATTCTGATTCTCGTATGTCACTTGCCGACGTTGTGCTGACCAAATCCCAAGATGAAAGCAATAAGATGATTATTGAAAGGCAGGCTGACCCTGAAGCAATGATACCAATGCGCCTCTTTGGGAAAGAACTACATGTAGATCTGATGAGCTTTGAACGGATTCTTCCAGGTTATTCAAAAGTGCAAACTCGTGCTCTAGTCTTGTCAAAGCTTATTCTTGGAAGGTACTCAACTTGCATTGATACTCATAACCATACATGGAAAGCAGTTTCAAGAATCAGTGTATCGTGTATACAGAAAGGTTCCATTGACAGTGCTCAAGTACTACTTTCTGGATCCCATCTTCAAGATAAAATCCAGGTTTCTATTGAGGATGAAAATGTGTTTGTTCTTACGGGAGAGATGCCAACTGAAATCACAACGGAAGCAAGTATCCGTGAGCACATTGATGAGACAGTCACAAAGGAAATGGAACATTTAGTAAGTAAACACAATCTTGCATGAAACTTTACCATTAGCTGGAAGCAATGTCTATTGAGTCAGGACAGAAGGATAAATCTATGTGACATGATGGTTTGAGTTCATTCTGAAAAAGTATAATTTATAGGAATTATATTTGTTCTTGAATGAGTCATCCGCGATCTATAGTCAGTGGTGACTAGCGCTTGGGTTTAGGTTTCATATATATGTATAATTTGTTACTGTGTACTTAGATTGATATAGTTTTACAACATTTAGACTTTGTTTGTTGGCAATCTACACTTTGCCATACTTGATGTATGTTTCAGTTCAGAATTATACATTTCTAGTATAGATTTATTGATTGTAAAAAATATTTACTAGGAGTAAAACGTTTTTCCTTCTTTTAATGTATGCTAAATAGCAATAGCATAATAATAAAGTCATATTACTCATCACAATTACTAAACTAGCAGACATTATGTGAATATATGTGTTGATACTTTTGTGGTGAATATAAAAAATGCATTCGTAACCATGTGAACAGTGCTCATATGTCATGTTATTCTTATATCCTATTTATGTTATGCGTATGCTTTCAGGTGAAACGAGAACTGAACGGCCTGTCTGTGATGATCAATGTTGACTGGGATTCACTCATTGCATCAAAGAATATGGGAATATATGCACAAGTCATCAGAATGTTATCAGGAGATGTTGCCTGCAACAAACTTGGTGGACTTCAAAGTGCTATTACTCGTTGTGGGTCGCTGTTGGGAGATATAAAATCTCTTTGTGGAAGAAAAGCTGTCAGTTCTACAGCACAACTTTATTCTAATCTGAAAGAAATCACAGTCAAGTACGTGCCGAATCTACCCATTTTGAAAGCAGAGTCAATAACATCCAATGAGTCATCAATGGTGTGGTACTTTACAGTAAGAGATGGCTATCTTCGATACAATTCAGATCATTTCATGTTGTTAAAACTATTGACTACCTGCAGATCAGGTTACAACTGTCTCTTGCATGGATTCAGATTACTGACAAGCAAGCCTGATGTCGCTAACATGCAAATCAGACAGAAATGTGAGAAGCAAAAATTAGAATCCCAAAAGGTTGAAGCGACAATAGAATGGGACTCGTTTGAAAGCATTGGCATGGTTGGGAAAATCAGTGGATTCATCAGGGGATATGCCGCTCAGGAACTTCAGAAGATAGCCCATCTGTATGCTTTCATGATGTGGCTTCACTTTGATTTTGATGATGTATGCTTAAGGGTAACACGAATGAAGGACAGATCTGGAATTTGGTTCAAGAAGAAAACTCTTGTGGTTAGCCTGAAGGTAACAAAGACTGACACAGGAGTTTGGATGACTGAAGATACAGACTATTCCAAAGTCTTTCATTCATTGGAAGAAAAACAGATTCTTGACCATGTTGTACCCTTCAAGTTTGAGTATCCACACACCATTAAGGACGTCTTTTGGCCTGAGTCAGCTCAAGTGAATTCCTTGACAAGCTCTGAAAAGCTTGCAAAAGCTACGATAAATCTGCAAGATCAACTTGGCATCATGATTACAGTGTCTCCTGTTGATTCGGATTGGCTGAAGATCATACACACAAATGACATTCGAGAAATGACTCATCCCCTACATCTGATTGGTAGATACTATGATTGGTTGGCATTTGGTACATGGTATACCTTCACCCACACGATTCTTAGCGTCTTACAGGCAGCCCGCACAAGTAGATACCTGGGTGACTTCAATATCCCGGCTGGTGCCTGGACATGGGTGACACACGATGAACTGCAGGACATCAGGATGTCAAAGGTGCTGTTGGTACGGCTCAAACAGAGTGAAACAAAGAAAACAAACCTGTTCAAGATAATGAAATTGTCTGAGATTCAAGAAATGAAGAAGGGTGAAATTAGTGGAATCTGGCAACACATATCTTTCAATCATGTCTTGGAGGATGACAGTGCTGAGTTTGAAAGGGTGCAGCTTATAAGTATTAATAAGAAGCTGATGTTCCTTTGTGACAGAGCAGCATTTAAACGTTTGCTTTTGGAAATACCTCACACAGTCAACATCAAACCAAATGTCGCGACAGAGACCCATAATACTGGTGCTGCTGGAGAACTGGGAATTACCTGTGAAGATGTGATTTGCCGACAAGGTTACTTCTATGAGAGGCAAAACGCGTGTCCACACATGAACTCCTTACAATTCTTGGTGAAGAGCAGTTCCAACAACATATCCGCTGTGTATGACGTATGGGATATTGGGAGCAAACTCGGAACAAATGTTGTTTTCGATAATGGAGACTTTGAAGATGACTTAGTTCTTGGGGTTGTGGGTTATGTCATGCAGAAGACACTTGAAGAAATAGCCAATCTCCCAAATGGACAGGACGAGAACAGGGATGCCATATTGTCAACAATTGCTGATATTGGACACATACGTATAGGATTCAAGCAATCTGTAAAAGATGGAGAGTCTCTTGAAACAGTGGAAGGGACTACATACAATGAAACTGTGGATATACACCTTCTTTCGGAGAGAGATCTGTATATTAACTTCAAACCAAATATCCTTGATACTGACTTAGAGCTGAGAACAATAACTGATACCTTGATTTCCGCAGTGTGTCGTACATTCGAGTTCCAAACTCCTTTCTTCATATCTGATGCTGTGTATAGAACATTGGGAATGGATATGCTGGCTCATGCCGTAACTGTATTTAAGTTTCATGGCAGGAAAAACAAGGAAGAGATTTTATCTGCAGCGGTGCAGTCGAGGGTCAACATCTCTGCTGCTTTGAAAACCGTTGCAGAGACGGACGCAGTTGCCAGGCAACGACTGATCTCTGAACTGGTGTCACTGGAAGTAAAGGAGACATCAAGGGATGGATCCGTGGCAACGTTTGAAAATGGCAATCTGAGATTCTCTGTTTTGAAGGATGATGGCAACACTGCTTCGCAGTCAGAGGTTGAGGAGGACCTCCTTTCTGCTCTGAAAGGACGCAACTCGACCCGCTACGACAGATCTGTGATATCAACTCATGGCAATAGCTATATGCCAATGGTTTTAACAGAGGAGCTGTTCCCAGATAACAATTCCGTAATGACGATCAGCTCTCCGCCGAAGGTGAAGAAGGTGCTGCCCAAAGTACACAGACTAAAGCGTCCCACAGCAACCAGCAGGTATGTATTGTTACTGTTGCTTACTGACACAGACAATAAAACCATATTGTGAGTGAAACCACACCAATTTCGTTAAATTTACCTTGTTGCAGGCTAGCCATACAGAAAGCTACAGACAGGCTGTTCGACTTTGTTGAGTTTGGACACACAGGAAATATTGAAAATGTTCTCGATATTGGAGCCAATATCAATGCGAAGAATTTGGTAAGTACGTATGTGCTGAGTGAGTGAGTGAGTGAGTTAATCTTTAACGTCACATCGGCAATATCTCAGCCATATCGTGACGACGTATGTGCTGAAAGGGAGGAAAGGTATGGTACTCAAACAATCAGTACACAATATACAATCTTGGTTTAATGATCATGTTATATAATCACATCTGTATTTCAGGATGGTTTTACACCTTTGATTCGAGCTGCCGAGTTGAGGAACTATGTGGTCCAAAATTTGCTGCTCTCTCACGGAGCCGATGTCTCTAAAACTGACAAGGTGAGACATTTGACCATCTCTAATGACGTCACGAGGTTTAGAGAATCTGGGTTTCTTTCTAATTCATTCAAACGTAGGGGTAGTTTAGTGGTTCAAGCTGTCGCTCTTCAAGCCAAAGACCCGGATCCTATTCCCACATTGGTACAATGTGTTAAGCATATCTATTGTGCCCAACGCCGTTTCATTTCTGTAATATTGCAATAAGCGACTAAAACCCAATTCACTCAATCATAGTATATATGTTCCACACCTATATTCCCTCGTACCCCATATGAACTCTGTTCCGTAGGATAATAGACATTGTGTATTTTCTGGTGTTGATGTGTAATATTTACTTTTGAGAATTTTTAGTTTTGAGAAATTTGGAACAAAACTGATTTTTAAAACTTAATGTGAAAATGTAAATAGCACATAAAGTGGAATGGATAAGGTATTTGTTGATTGCAGGTTGGACGCACACCACTTCATATAGTGTCTGCACACGGGGATGTTGAGAGCATAAAGCTATTGCTCACACATGGCATCAACGTGAATAGTAGAGACAAGGTACTGTATATGTGAATAAGTAATGAAGGCATACCACTGTCACCTAGTCTAAATGTATTGATTCACAAACGTTAACAGGGTTTTGTAGGTGATGCAAGTGATGCTCTGTTAAAAGGCATGTATAGCTGTGAAAGTTGACATTTCATCTTCATCCTGCGTGTTGATTTATTCACTGAATGCCTATGACGGATGCGCCAGGTGCGACAGGATACAGGTTTTCGTGATGTGGTAATGTTGATTGATAAAGGAATGTTGTCGGAATCGAGCAATCTGTGTTTTAGAAGATATTTGTTTCGAAAAGGGAAAGGGTTTTGTCGCTTATATTTAGTTACAGAGTGGGAGATATTTACACAAAATGTTGCATATGGATCATGTGTTCATCCTCACCAACATGAACATTAAAAAACACAGATGTTGAGGTTGACATGCTGTCGTGTACCGTAACTAACACTTGCACATATACTACTCACACTTTGCTAAGGATCACTTGGATTTATAATTTGAAATTGTATCCATTTAAAACTGGATAAATAATAATACGATAACCCCTATTTAGGCAAACAGTGACTTTAATCTAACCTTATGCACTTGATACATGAGTAACCATAAAAATGGTTTCATGGCACCAATCAACCATTTTGCAAATCATGGAACGAGTCATTGACAAGTACACAACACCTGTCAATCGCAGGTATGGGATCCACAAGACGAAATGACAAACTGAAACCTAGGATCCATGTTTACAATAAGCTTAGATACTAGTATTTAAGCCAAATTTGACCCCACATCATAGCTTTCTATTGAATCCACGATTTCATCCTTAACAAAGTGTGAATAGTATATAGTATAAAATAATCATACTGTATCAGTGGTATATGTTTAGTGTAATTCGGATATATGTGTGTATACAATACCTTCATTTAGCTACCATCTTCTTTTAAATAGGTTATATCATTATTTCAGTGACAGTATCAGTGATCAGTGATCACTGCTTAAGAATGTGTGTGACTCGGCTCTAATATATATAACCAATTTAGTGGATCTATATCAGTTAATATCTTTGAAGTGTTAGAAGTTTAGAGTCTATAAATAACTACGATTTTCACATTTCCAGAACTTCAGCTTTGCACAATGGGTAACATGTGATATTGATGTTCTTAACCGATGTTAATATAATCACTTGATATATATTCTCTTTTAAAATGAATACACACCGACCCCAGATTCAGGATTAGATTTGCTCTTCAGCACTCCGAATTTGTCATAAGATGCTATAAACATCCTATCACAATTGCGTTGATCGATGCTCCTGGGCCAGCAGCTATATTGCTTAATGCGGCTTTTTTCAACAAAAAAACCGCAGACACACCTGTTTTACGTAAATGCGCATATTCATATATGCCATGCATATATGCATACTTAATCATAATACGTGCAAAGAAGTAACTCCTCAGTAACCATGGAAACATGACAGACATGACTTGTATAACAGACAAAAATCACAATGTCTTGTTTCCTATGCAATGATGAAACTTGTGATTCAGAATGGCCGCACTCCTCTCCATTACGCCGTCAACAAGAAGAAGGTGGAGGCCGTGGACATCCTGGTGTTCTGTGGAGCTGACTCCACCATCAAGGACAAGGTAAACCGGTGTAAACCACTCACAGTATATAAGTTGGAGTATACAATACTGAAGATCACTTCAGCTATATAATGGAACTTTACAACTTGAGTAAAACTGGCCAGCAGGAGTATAGTGTTTAACAACTGAATTGATAAGATCCTAATCTACCTTATTAGGAATTTGACACAGTTACGGGACGCAAACCTGAAGCGAATATCGTCGCCATACGGCTGTGACACCCAATAGAACAAAATTTGGAACGGGTTTTAAATTTTAAAACTGTTTTTAATACAAACTAACAAAAGTAAATGTGTGAATCATCAACAAGGACGAAAATGGTAACATCTTCCATGGTGTAGGAACATTGTGTTAACACACATCTAAATGCCCCGTGGAATCGCAGCAATTTTGGTTAGATATGATCCTGTCTTATCATAATTATAATCCAAGCCTCCTAATATGGGTAATGGCAAAGCATATATATGTACATAGATACATTTTATGTACAATGTACATGTGACGTGAATTCCAGATGGGCAACACCCCGTCCTTCACGTGTAAGCGGCCAGACATTCTACGTCTAATGCAGGAGTCCACGCAGACTGTGTTTGGAATGAAGAACGGGTAAGTGATGAACGGGTTGATGAGTATTCGTTTTGGGAAAAGAACTCTCTTAGGCGATTCGCAAGAACGTTTAAGAAATACAGTTCTATTTTCTGATCTCTAATTATGGTTGAGGACTGTTAAATTGACACATTGATTGAGCCTGTTTACTTTTTAATGCAACTGCTGGATTATTTTAGGACATTTTACGGCTGATTCCTTCACTTTACGTAAACGATTTACACATGTGAATGAGTGAGTGTGGTCTTACGCCGCGTTTAGCAATTATCCAAAAATATCGTTGCTTCAAAACATTGTACACATGTGAGGATTCGAACCCGGAACGAACGCTGTAATCACCAGGCTACCCCCACCGATGTTAATAGTAAAGGTGACCCGGTTCATAATCAGTCACATACAATATCATCAAATCAACATGATTTATTTCTGTTTCAGTTATGTGTTCATAGAGCACACTACACTAGAGGCCGACTCTACCTATCACCTAAAGAAGCTGGATCTCACCATCAAAACACCGCACTCCGTAGGCACCGGAACTGTCAACTTCATCGGTAGGCGTGTCCGACCCGAGTACAGTCGCAGCTCATTGGTCCCAGCTGATAAAGAGCTATCTGATGAGTGACGTGTTCGAGTACCGATTGTCTGGCACGCGACCGGAAGGTCACGTGACACTGAAGATACCCGTATATGCTAAACCTGACCTGTTCGAGGAAGTGTATATGAAAACAGATCGGGGGGTATACATTAGTTTCATGTGTACAGCGGTTTACTGAGGGATATACGGTACGAGGAGGACACGGTATGTGTAATGTCTTACTGAATATTGGAAAGCTATAACAATAACAAACTATATTCCCTGTTATTTCATTAACATAGTGTAAGGTTTACAAATAAAATGTCTGGTTCAGACATGCTTATGTACAGACCAAAGTGAATGTTTTTTTATAATATATCTCTATATTAAAGTATGTGCATTGTGCATTTAGTAATTTAGTTATAACAATTCCATGTGGATTTACTGAGTCACGAAGACACCTCCAGTTATTTTGCTATGTTTTAAATAGCGGCACGGTTTAGTATTGTTTGAAATATTTTCAGTAAAATATGTGTCAATGTTTACTTATCTTCACAGAAACAATGGTTCTGCTACGTGAAGATGAACATCTCCAACATCAACGCTTTCCTTCTCGTCACACTACCAAAGGTGGAGAAGTTCCCGATCACGCCAGCAGGTGGCGTCTTCACCTCCTCAGTAGACAGCATGGTGGAGATAAAGGTTCTCAAGGAGACCTTCATCAAGTCGGGAACACTCACTCTGGAGGTAGGTATGGTGCCTCCACGGCTGTATTTTAGAAAACTCCACGTAATACTATGTTGCTCTTAAACAGTTCATACAAGGGTATAGCAGGAATACCTCAGGCTAACCTGTAGATCGGTTGTTCAGAGCTGATCCGACTCCATAGAATAGAGCGTTGTTCAAGATTTATTCATTTACAAGATTTGCATACCTTGAACTGGATTTATCAAAACTAAAAATCCATTCACACACCCATTCATTACAATTTGCTATGATCCATGGACAGAAACCACTGGCACAAATCGATATATATTAAATTAATGTTAAAGTATGTGTTTTGCCAAAAAATAGCTTTGTGTAGTTGATCATGGTCTTCTTTTAGTAAGAACATGGGTGCCGCCTTAATAAGGCCTTACAACCACACATTGAGGATTAGTGTAAAGTCGATACCAAATTTACTGTTCATTGAGTTTTACCAAAGACATTAGCTTTTTCTGAAATCTAATTTAATATATGGACTTGAGATATTGTTAGTAAATACTATACATTTTGTCAAACACTGTCTAAGTACATGAAAAACGCTAATGAAGACAAAGTGTAACTAGTACTTGTTATCAGTTCCCTCATAAGAAAATGACACAGACATGATTTAATATGTTGGTGAAATGTTGCATATTTTGAAGATATTAGAATGAAAGATTATGATATGAAATGCCTCATTTTTCTCAATTCGACACAGGTAATCCCCAAACCTGCCTTCGACGAGGAAGAGTTCTCTCCCGTGTTGTCCTTGTCCCACTTCTATGACGTGAATCATTCCAAGGGGGAACAACCCAGGCGTGACGTCCTCATCACCATGCCCACACCACAGGACTACTTCGGTGACGGCGATCTGTACGTCATGCTTCGTCATGACGAAGTGGATCACAAAGAGGAGGAAGACTGTTGGGAGATATTGGAAAAGAATCCAGCGATCAACGCCGGTCTTATAACAATTAAAGTTCCCCATTTCTCCGAGTAAGTGCCGCATCATCATAAATACAGTTCCATGTATAGACACCAAACATGTTTAGATACTTAATTTACAGTGTGCTCATTAGACATAAACCTTTGTCGATTGTATATTTTGTAATTTTTCATGGTGATACATGCTGTGTCCATATTCTGGCTTTGTCTTCAGCCAGGCTTTGCATAATGATAAAGGTAACATTGTTCTTTGAATAGTTTAGACAACAAACACATACTTTTGTTTGTAAATTGTGAGAGTTGTGAGGGTCACCGGTAGGGCACGACATGCTTACCCTCTACCCCAAACACCCGGTGTCATCACTGATTTTCAGTTATCCATTCGTATAATTATTATTGAAAATTTGTCTTTTCGGCCTAATGACATCTGTTCGGTACATAATCGAGCGTCGTATTTCGAAGACGTTCTATATTTAAACATGCTTTAACTGGTAAGTCCTGAAACAGGACCCTGACCAGTGACGATATGGGTTTTATGAATTTAGTGTTCAACCAACCCGTTAAGATCCGGGTTTGAATTAGTCTTCAGCAACCCAGCAACAAGAGGCGACTAACAGGATTAGGCTGTCAGGAACGCTGACTTGGTTGACGAATGTCGTATCTTAGATGGATGTTCATGCTGTTGATCACTTGATTGTCTGGTCCAGACTCGAGTATTTACATACCGCCATTATACACTTGGAGTCCGGCGGTAAATAACAGAAAAACAAACAAATTGTGTTTAACCATGTCAATTTTCTTTGCCTACAGTCTAAACCTCATTGAGTACAAGCAACCGATGGAAGATGGAAAGGTGACAGAGAAAGACATCATCCGCACTAATGCCAAGCTGCTCGAGAAGGCCAAGCGTCGCGAGTGCAGCGTTGTGTTCATGGCCATGCTCCGGCCCATGGATGACTCCAACTGTGAAGCTGTTGTGGAGTGCACCAGGAACACACGGCTGTACACCAGGCTCCAGCACTGGAAGATGGAAGGCTACAAGGACCAGAAACCCAGCTTTACCAATGAGTTCATTTCCTTCCCGAAACAGGAGTTCCTCTTTGATATCGGCGGAAACAGTCAGAAGATTAACAGCGTCATCACAAAACTGCAGTACCACCCTAAGAGAGACAACTATTTGACATTCCCAATCTGTGCCAAGGATGAAACCAAGGATAAAGTTGGTTGGGTTGACATAGGGGAGAAGAAGAGGCTGGAGAAAGAGTTTGCCCAGAACCCCACCTATGACTCTCTGGCAAAGATCCTGGTGTACCTGGCCGATTTTGACAGAACTAAGACCAACAAGGCAAAAGATGAGACAGACACAACAAGGAATGAAACGACGGAAGAAGAGGCATTGGCGTTTGCAGGTGCTAATGAAAGCCTTGGCGATGTTCACTATCGATAATAACGTTTCTGGTCATTGCATTTGAGTTACAGACGCAAGTTTGCTTTCCGGAAAACTCATTTTGAGAAATGCTTAAATTACGCCGTGTCTAACCCGCCTAACAGAGATCATTTGGTACAGATGTGGTCTAATGCATACCTGGTATAATTACCAAACTGACCTGTTCTCTCAGTTCAGTTCAGATTTGAAGAATTAAATTTTGATATAGTCTTCGACACCTTTCGTTTTGACCTTTGTATTTCCTTCAGGTTTTACAGACAAGAACCTCCTTCAGGATCTGGCCAGCAGACTTGGCCCAGAGTGGATGAGGCTAGGGATACTGCTGGGCTTCACTGGAGCATCCATTGACAAGCTACAGTCCCAGGAAGACCTGGAGGAAACGGACAAGCGACTGAAAGTAGGTTACTATACATTCAGGACCGGATCACCATTTGTTGTGGATTAATATACGTTTAGTTAGTATACCTATGTGGAACCTTTGCAGTTTCTTTGCAATAGTTCTGATGATATAAATTGTGATAACAGGTCAGCAATAAATGTAATTCTGTTACTTTGTAACTTAATATATATATAACCAATCATATATACAGTCGTCAAAGAAATAGATAAAGTGAAGATCACATGCCCAGTTTTAATCACGCACCAATATTATGTCTAAAATGCATCATTATCCACCATGTCCAGATGTTAACGCGATGGCGTGATCTTCGTCTTCATCGATCCGACCATGGCGTCCCCGAGTTACTGATAGTGTTACAGAAGTCTCACAGAAGAGACCTGGTGACAATGGTTATAGCAGAGCTCAAGAAATGGTAAGAAACTTCTACTATGGTACCCATCTTGGAGTCGCAGATAAACGTGCTATGGGAACAATAATTTCAAACATAGTGTTAATAAAAAATCACATTTCTCTGAACGTCCCTCTATGGCTCAGGTTATGAATTTTAGTCTTAGTATATTGGGTATGTAACGTTTTGTTGATGTGGAACGTTTTAGGTTGGATGAGAAGAAGGAGCGTCAGGACAAATTCTACTCCTGGCTGGAGAGTGCATTGACTGCTAAGGACTCACCAACTTCAGGTAAATTTCTCCCAAATATATAGTTTAATGAAATATGTTCAATATTTCTTAAACAAATCTGAGGTAGTGTACCGGAACTTATTATCGATATCTATGACTGATCATAACATGAGTTCATGACGAGATTACTGAACCTATTTAAATTACTAAATCAGTTATTGTTAAAGATCTATGAAATTCCAGACCGTGAAGACCTCGAATTTACATTCGGCCGTGAATATTAACATAAACACCTTATTATGTGCCTGTAAAACTGCGGTATTTTGTTTACTTTGTCATTGCCTCATTATTTATATCTTCTATGACAATGTAGGAATAGAATGGAGGAATTAAGAATGACCTATCAAACATGGCCGCCAAAAGTGAGTGAGTTGGGCTTTACGCCGCTTTTAGCACTGTTCAAGCAATGTCACGGCGGGGACACCAGAATGGGCTTCACAAATTATACCCATGTGGGGAATCGAACCCGGGCCTTCGGCGTGACGAGCGAAAGTGAAACCACAAGGCTATCCAACGACCCCCGATCATTTAAGTTCATGGATGAATATGATAGGTTGGCGGTTTCAGGTCTCCTTGAGCCGATGTCCGATGCCTTCCTGCAGGCGCTGGTTGATGAGACGGGGGTCGTGCTGGACCTGGCCGGGGATGTAGACGTGTCTAGACCGGAACTAGACACTATCCTGGCTGATCCTCTAGTTCCCTCTGACCAGGCCAAGATGGTCAAGGTAAGTAAATACTGTATATTCCTATGTTGGAGTGAGCGCAAACACGAACACTTCCTTAACACAGCCATTTGTCGTACTTATCAGAGTATATATCTTGGCAGAGGTACAAATAAGCTGCGTATCTGCGTAAATTACGCAAATATTTATGTGAAAACTCAATTCCTATTAAGTCTATTGCGTACGCTTGAAGTTTTGTAAATACTCAATAAATGTGATCTTACATGCGTACTCACAAAAATGTCATATCGTAGCTTGCGTACCAGTGGATGGCTAAAATATCTGAAGTACATCATATACAGAATATTGAGAGGTTCCATTTCAGGACATGAACTTGACAACATTTAAACTTTATTATATTTTTAAAATTGATGGAAAATGGCAAAATACCCAAATGAGTTTGAGTGAGGTGAGTACAATATATTTCGTTACTCAAAGGAAAATAAGATACCCACTTGAGATGACGACAAGGGAGTACATAACTCAATGACCCAAAATGTTATCTGTAGCTCTGCTTGGGTAGGGATGTGTTGTACGGTTCTCCTATGTTGCTCTCCAACTTCCAAAATGCAAATCAAACAGTTAACCATTAGTTGAGGCCAATGCAATACAAGTTATTTTGTGGAGAGATGCGGTATTTCACATAAATGATCAGCAGTACAAAATGTCGTGTTTTCCCTCAGGTTCTACAAACATGTAGAGATAAGCAGAATTCTCGGGGCGAGGCTTTCAAGGTGCTGACCGAGGGTCTGACGTCTTTCGGCCTGGCCCTTCCAAGAAACTGGATGCTCAGAACTGCCAAAGAATGGTAAGTCAGTGAGTTTGTTCGATAGTGGGCCGTGACTGAGTGGGATATTTTCCGCAGCCAATGAGCAGAACTACACTAGCAATATCACGGCTGGGAACACCAAGCACTGCTCATAGTGTGTCCATGCAGGGAATCGAACGACTTTAGCCACAAAATATCCTGTCTTTCTGGGGACATGTAGACGGAACTTCTGCCATTATGTTAATGCCAAATCATTGAAAGCTTCATCTACAAGCATTCCTTTTTTTCAAATCAAAATTGCTATTAGTGTTATGATTTCAAGGAACATAATCCCACAATTTGGAAGAAAATGTGGAGGTTTTTAGATTAACGAGTTCATCGCCAGACACCAGTTAGTAAGTGTTATCTTATTGATGTGGTACACGTATTTCATTTTCTAGGATCCACAACACAGAGTTGTCAGATGATCCGTTTGTCCACGCCATCAACGACTACCTGGAGGAGGTGGAGAAGAAATACCTGGCGCACACTTCCACCTACGATGAAGACGACATCAGTGAAGACTGATCCTTGTCAGGAGAGAACAAACTCTGGCCATAAATACCTCATGTGGAGTAAACGTAGATATTCCACAAGATAAAAACAGAAAAAGAGATAAACTTTCAGTCAATAAGGTTAACTTGCTGCTTAAGCACTGAGTAGGATAATTCATATGTGTTATTTATTTGCTTTGAATGTCAGACTCGCTAAATTGGTTTGATGCATGTCATCGTATTCCAATTGTGTAATCCATGCTCATGATTTTGATCACTAGATTGCCTGGTCCAGACCCGAATATTTACAGACCGTATAGTCTCAGTATTGCTAAATGTGGACGTTTAACAAAAAACAGAAAACTTTGAAGGTTTGACAGATGACAAGATGTTGTACGGTATATGCAGCATCAAACCCGAGTTACGTCCCTTTCATTACAACCACATGTGATAACACCGACGCAACAACCTATGGTCTGTTCGCAGTGAAAACCAATAATAGCGATTTGAATCTATGATCGTTTGTTAAACAACTTTTATCCTAAGTTGAAAAAAATTCTGAGATTTAAATGTTCATTTGGCAAGGTAAAATTATGAGGATTCTTAATTTCACTTAACTTGATTAATTTTTTTGTTTAAAGTGAAATTCATCGGTACGTTTTCACTGCAAACAGACTATAGGTGAAGTGCTGTGATAACACTAGACGATAAGCCCATGCTTTATTTGTAGTCCGTGTATATAATGTATAGATTGCGGTGAGTTTTTTCACTTTTGGAGTTTACACAGTTTTGTTTTCCATGATACTGATTTCGAGAAAGCATTGACACTTGTACATAAAACAAATGCAACGAAAAATAAAGCAAAGTAAGAATAATACCTGAATGATAGAGCTTTACACGTGTGACACATCTTGATGCTGTAGATACCTGAATGATAGAGCTTTACACGTGTGACACATCTTGATGCATACATATTCCCACTTTCTAGATACCTGAGTGGATACATACGCACTAGAAATATACTGCCAATTACTGCAATACATGCTTCATACTAAACAATGTGTCACTCAATACAAAATACCAGCAAAGTGTATGTTACGGCTCTGTAACACATGTTTGATACTGTAGATATTCTTCACTTTTATACATGCCTGTCATGTATATATTGTTTATTATTGCAATACATGCTTCATAACAAAATCCTAGCTAATATGAAGTGTGTGTTACGGCTGTGTAATATTGAAGACATTCTTCACTTGTATGCAAACGTAAATCTGTGCCTGATTCTGCAACAGATGCACGATACTGTAATCAGTCTTAACTTGTATGTAAATAGTTTTCTTTTTTCTAAATGCCTAGCATTATGTGAAGTGTTTGTCACAGTTTTGTACCACATGCTTAATACTGTAAATATGCTTTACTCGCATTTTAACCTAGCAGTACTGGAGTGCGGAAAGTGCTACAAATATTTATCACATGGTTTATACTGTAAGTATGCTTCACTTGTGTATAAACAGAGATGTGACCAGTGTCTGTTACAGATGTGTAACAAGTCTTGAAACTGCACATTCCTTTCTTGTATATACCCCTAACATTATTGAAGTGTATGTTACAGTTTAACACATACTTGATACTATAAATGTACCTCACTTGTGGACAACAAAGCATTATGTAAGTGTGACAGATGTTACAGTTGTAACATGCTTGATGCTGTGAATATTCATGTGCATATGAACAAAGCATTATTGAAGAGTGACAAGTGTATGTTACAGTGCACATGATAGATACTCTAAATATTTTTCACTTGTATAAAACCTTGTATTTAGGTACGCGTGTCTTTTATACCTCTTTATGGCATGCTTGATACTGTAAATATACACTTACTTCACCTGTGTATAAACAAAGTATTACTGAATTGTGACAAGTGCCTGTTACAGTTGTTCAACTTATACATGGATATTCATCATTGTATATAAACCAGACCTCAATGAAGTATCCGTTACAGATGTTTAACTCATGCTTGATACTGTAAATATTCATCATTGTATATAAACCAGACCTTTATGATGTATCTGTTACAGATGTTTAAATCATGCTTGATACTGTAAATATTCATCATTGTATATAAACCAGACCTTAATGAAGTATCCGTTACAGATGTTTAACTCATGCTTGATACTGTAAATATTCATCATCGTATATAGACCAGACCTTAATGATGTATCTGTTACAGATGTTTAACTCATGCTTGATATTGTAAATATTCATCATTGTATATAAACCAGACCTTAATGATGTATCTGTTACAGATGTTTAACTCATGCTTGATACTGTAATTATTCATCATTGTATGGCGGTGATGGGTAGTAAATATTCATCATCTAGTGGTTAAAGCTGTTACAGATGTTTAACTCATGCTTGTCACGCCGAAGACCAGTGGTTCGATTCCCCACATGGGCACAATGTGTGAAGCCCATTTCTGGTGTCCCCCGCCGTGATATTGCTGGAATATTGCTAAAAGCGGCGTAAAACTAAACTCAGTCAATCAGTAAATATTCATTATTGTATATAAACCAGACCTTAATGAAGTATCTGTTACAGATGTTTAACTCATGCTTGATACTGTAAATATTCATCGTATATAGACCAGACTCCTTTATGATGTATCTGTTTGTTTAACTCATGCTTGATAATGTCATCATTGTATTTTAAATATTCATCATTGTATATAAACCAGACCTTAATGAAGTATCTGTTACAGATGTGTGTGATACTGTAACTCTTGTTCACTTGTATATAAGCCTAGCATTATTACAATGTATATTGCAGTTGTGTAACCCAAGACTGATACTGTAGATATTCGTCACATGTACATATGCCAAATGTATGTGTGCCTTGTACAGTTTTGTAACATTGTTTGATACGTATATGCTCTGACCTTGCATATAAACAAAGCATTATTGGAGTGTGATACATGTCCAGCTGATGTTGTAGATGCCAAGCATTATTGAAGTTCTGTCACAGTTTTGTAAACCAAGCTTGATACTGTAAATAGTCGTCACCTGTGTATAAACCTAGCATGGATGAGTGTTACATCTGCCAAATAGGCGGTTGATACTGTAAATAGTCTTCACTTGTGTAAACACCAAGCTTAACTGAAGTGCCTGTAACAGTTGTCTAACACATACTTGATACTGTAAATAGTTCACTTGTATAGATACCTAGCTTAATCCAATTTTCTGTAACAGCTGTCTAACACATGCTTGATACTGTAAATAGTTCACTTGTATAGATACCTAGCTTAATCCAATTTTCTGTAACAGCTGTCTAACACATGCTTGATACTGTAAATAGTTCACTTGTGTAGATACCTAGCTTAACCCAATTTTCTGTAACAGCTGTCTAACACATACTTGATACTGTAAATGTTCGTCACGTGTATATACGCCTCAATTATTGCAGTGTATGTTCCAGTTGTGTAACGCGTGCTGTTTACTCTAAGTATTCGTCGCATGACCCAGGTATATATATGCTATGTTTGATGTTGTCGAATAAATGTTGTACTAGGATCAACTGATGATAATCTTCTGAAGGGTTCATCACTGTTAGTTTGTAGATATCACGTTTTCGTAATATTGTGTTGTAATATCATGTTTTTGTGTTTTAGGGATGTATGTGCAGGAGTGCCACATTCGTTGTAAGATGTTCCGATGTATATCGGTTCCATATCGATCTACATAGGATGATTTGTTATATATGATTCCTCTGTGTCTAAAGGTACACAGATGTTGATAGTAAAGCTTTTGACACGTGTATTTTTATATGTTCGTGAGACTCTGACACATCCCTAATCGTTGATCAATATGTGTGTCCAATAGTTATATGTACAACCATGAAACAGATGTACAATTTGCCCATTTCCCTCAGACGTTTTACCCCATCTCCTCACATATATTCACATTGAAGGCGGGGCACCAAGCAAGTTGTCAAGTGGAAAAAGTTTTATGACAATGAGGTGCATTTGTTACTTCATTCAGTTCCTGTACGCAAGACGTGTTGTCCCATCGCTAATTCCCGGTTTCAAAATGCTTAACATACAAAGAAAGTGTTTAACTGTGCCTTAAAAAGTTGAATAAGTTATATTTTAGCAACTGTGGAGTGCATCCTCGGTAACATATGGAAATTATATCACTTGTGTTTTGGACTTTAGGTACGTTTGTTTACCCATGCAATACTAGTGCAGATGTTGCACGTGTCAGCCAGAAAAATCACATGGAATTAAGTCTGTTATATTTTGTTGTTCATTTAATATCTCCAAACGCCAAATGTCAGCGTTAAAAAATTGTAGACATTTTACGGAGTATCACATTTCCAAGATGGGACTTTGTTATACATTTCATGACCATGAATTAGGCTTCAAAACATTATAAAGAATTGTTGATATTATCATTATTGCTATGTTTAGTTGGAGTGTTTATTGTACTGATAATTCACAGTGATAAACCAACGCATCTTAACAACCGTTATATATTATTGTTATGTACTACTGATCCTAATTTATTCCTTTTTATTAAACATCCGTGTCACAGTTGGTCGAAGCAACCCATGCTTGACGTAAGAGGCGACTAACGGGATCTGGTGGTCAAACGTGCTGACTTGATTGACACATGTCATCGTATCCCAATTGCGTAAATCGATGCTCATGTCATTGGATTGTCTGGTCCAGACTCGATTATTTACAGACCCCCGTCAAATAGCTGTAATATTGCTGCGTGCGGTGTTGAACAGCGAAATAATTTTAATGAGTATGTAATCTATTATAGAAGTGAGGAGTTTTGCTCTAATGGTTTTACCGATGTATTTTAAATATACTGACATCAGTATTATTTAATAAATCTGTTATTGATGTGAAGCAATAACCATATTCAGAGTTGGCAGTTCGTGTTGTGCTTTCACACAGAAGTTCAGAATGATTTGACCGATCTCAATATACAGCCAGTACGATGGCATTACATGGTATGAACATTGCATCATTGTCGCACGTGTAAGCTACAAACTGTTGGTGCCAGGATGATGTATCTGCTGTACTCTCCTGTGACCGTTCGACAGACACTATACCGTGGCGTTCTGACATGTAATGTTCCCAGCAGAAGATTGCTGATCACTGGAACGTTAGGTTTTGTTTCGAAACCGCTTTATCCCTGGCAGTCACTTTCAAAGCAGGTCGTTCTTCTGAAGACCGATCATAACAAGGATGTTCCATGATCCCCGATAGTTCGGAGGAGTAATAGTGTCACAGCATTTGCAATTAAATAAGCAATATGTTATGGTTAGCATAATGTATTGGTCATACTGGACAATTTCTTGATTTAACCTTTCATACGAATTGCATAAATCTACAAGATTATCGTCGCTTACACAGGTTCAGGATCCGGTGACGGTGGGTTCGGATCCCACATTCTCCAACATTCTGATATTTGGTCTGTCAGGACCTTTACCCTTGCTGAGACGTTCTGAATGCCCTTTGTCTCGGGAAATACAGTTGACCAACAAATGATTTCCCTCGTGTCACGATATGGGAAACATATGTCACTGACTGTTACAGTGAATGAATAAAACCATACTTACTCACTACAGTGAATGAACATTTAACTTCGGCAATATTTCAGCGATATAACGACCATGATTGCTAAACAGACACAATTTACTTCATAGCGTTAAATATTGCAACACCTGATCAGACGATATATTCTGATTTCTAGTGACCTTAGACAATTGTGTTTTTACCTCTACAGAAACAAATTTGTTCATAAGAATCAGCAGCCAGCTGACAGCTATACATGTACATGGGGGAAATGAACAAAGTTTAATTTTTTTCACGTTATATGTTATTGGAAATAGTACAAACCTAGTGAATATGTGTCCCAGTCCACCCAGCTGTGAATGGGTACCTCGTAAGGATGAGAAAGCTGCAATAACTCGGTGCGCCTAGTGGCTGCAAGAGTTGTATGATTCCCGGGGAGTTGAGATTGATAATACGATATGCCGTTGAGATTGACATCCAATGACAGAGGGGAAATAATGTCAGCACCTTGAGCATGTACTAGTTGCGTGGATATGTGCGCTATATTAATATCCTATCCTTTCATATCCTATAACACGTTCCACAATCTTAAACCTGCCAAGGGTCACATCATAATCAGAGACAAGTCTCTCTTCAGTTAACAGAGTCAAGGAGTAATACATTTATCTATAAATATATACAGTATATATTTACAGCCAGACTGTCAACCACTGTTATTAAATCACATGTGCCATCTATAAAACAATTACTTACGGTGATATGCAAGCTGAACAGCTAACCTTATTCATAATTAACTTTACCCATCAACAATTGTATCATCAATACCTTTAATGTATTTACATAATTCTGTCAAGGTCGAATACCGTACGTTAACAGCTTTATCACCAGTTTAGTTAGGCAATGACATTGAGATAAGACAACTTAAGTTCACCATACCAACTTAATCGTCAGTTTAATCAGTAAATACGATAACTGAGATAACTAGGACATGTGTACAATACGGACGACAGATAGTCACACGTCATTCTGTGGCTGTATAAAAGGTCATCGTGTATTTACACCGGCTTTGTTTGTGTGTGGGTTGGTAGTGGTGCCCATGTCCATTGAGCTGATTCCCCAATACACTCGCGTTCTAATACATGGGTGCCTGACAACTCTTTATCAGTGAAAGAATTCGATACGCGTTGACAAGCAATAGCTATAGATCACGGAAGCTATTACATCACATGTTGTGCCGAATAAGTCGTTTTTCCCTCACGTAGATCTAACACTGAGCGTACTGGCTGTTCCACAAAAGAACGTTACGAGATAAGTGTTTTCGTCATAAAAACACCTCCTAAATGGGTGATTTATTGTTCAAGAAGTCATATCGTATGTTACATAGACCTGTACCTGGTTTGAGGAGGATATCGGTTCAATTTTAAAAACAGTGTGCTAGAGGTGGACATTAGACACCTAAGTTCGGTATTTGTCCCTGTATTGACTTCTTCTCCAACGCCGAGATGGAAGACAGACGTCCATTGACGTCGAAATGAACGTTTTGCGTTCGACAGGTGATTCGGTGATTCCTGATCTGCAGCAGCCTTACTCACACTGTCCTTCCCAGGCGGAACATCACACGTATCCAACAAGTCATTTCATACTAAACTACCGGGCTAAAGAAAGTTATCACTTTTAAAGTAATTGTGAAAAACAACAACACCAAAACGCTAGTACAGGTTTGAACCCAAGGGTGCGTCCACGTATGTATGTATGCATGTATGTATGTATGTATGTATGTATGTATGTATGTATGTATGTATGTATGTATGTATGTATGTATGTATGTATGTATGTATGTATGTATGTATGTATGTATGTATGTATGTATGTATGTGTGTGTGTGTGTGTGTGTGTGTGTGTGTGTGTGTGTGTATGTATGGATGGATGCATGCATGCATGCATGTATGTGTATGTGTGTGAACGCACGCACGCATGCATGTGCGTATGTATGTGCGTTTATATGTGCGTGTGATAAATGTAATCCTATATATAACATATGTTACATTTGACCTCTTTCTATAGTTTGTTTGGGTCAAAACAATACCAATGAATCACAATCCATACGTAGCATTGTGTACGCATATCTTTCGGCCGTGTGGGCGTCGTGCCAATTTACACTTATCAGAGAGGTATTCCGTGTCAAGAGTACCAGTATTAGTGGCAGCCGCGGTAGCTGAGCGGGTAGACGACTGACTTTGTGGGCTCGAATCCCGGATTTAACTTGTGTTAGATTTTATCACTTTCTATATGGCATTGTGTATTCAAATTGTAGTTCAGTTCAGTGTTTCATGCACTGCCCCCGTTGTTGAAGCTGTTGAAAAATGTAACAGTAACATAGATACACATAGATACATTTACATACCACTTCAGTCCTCGCCCCGTACGCACAAACACACACGTACGCAAACACACAGACACACACACATACATACATTCTCGAAGTTCTCTATATTTAATGTTGTGTCTGTGACAAATGTGTTACATGTGACAGCGAAACTTTGACGGAGCCATAACTCATGATCAGTCTTGATAGCAATCACAAGTGTCCTAACTGATACTTCTGCACTTCAGGAATTTATAACACGGGACACTGGAAACTGCGCACTGGATACATGCCACAATGTCATGTGATATAGGCGAGCTTTCCATTGATTTTCTTTTTATCTTTGTCCTGATTCGTGACTTTATTTATTAGTTACATGTATACACAAGTAGGTGCAATTCTGTCTCATTTCAATCTCCCTTTACCCATAGGGATTTATACTGAGTCACTGCGCGCTGAGGGTGACAAACTAAGGGAATCTTAAGGCGTGAAGAATTGTTAGGGACGGCAACACGTTTATACTTTACAGAAAATGTTACACTTTTCGTGAACATCTGGTTTCATCGCTGATTTTCAGTGATCGATTCACGCAGCAATTATCAATAGGACGCTTTTGTTCCTTTAGACGAATGTGTTTAAGAAGATAATCCGGACTGAGTAGTTTTGTCATTGCTGTCTGGATTATAGCTGTCGTTTTCATCAAGACGGTAAGTAACACGTTTTACTGTCTTTGTTTTGGGCTTGGATCTCTATTGGCCCTTTGGACGATAAGTCTCTCTCTCTTTCTTTCTTACACACTCACACGATAACAGGCAGACAGTCATGCACACAGATAATGTTTTGTCAGATGTCCTTCTAGATTTAATTTCTAGGAAATTTTGAATAATTTACACGTTTACTCATCGAAGATCGATTTTTAGATTGATTTATTTTCGTGTTTCGAGATGTTGAATATAAAATTTCGTTCAACTTCATATGCAGCATGTAATGTATTATTGCTTGGTGATCGTACGCGTTCGCCCAAGCCCAAATTCACTCTGTACTCGGTACTAAGATTGTACCGCTAACGTTATCGCTCAGGGTTTGAATTTGTAGGGAATACAATAAAATGGCTATATGTGTTGACGTTTCTGTACAGTTGGATTCCCACAGGGGTGGAGATTTCTTGTGCAGTCAAGACAATCCAGTGGCGTTATGAACAGTGATAACTGAGATCCGATCATCATGCTATCAAGTATCACCGATCCAGAGGTCGCCTCTAGTGACAAGCATAGCTACAGTCCGTTTGAGTCAGAAACGGACCGATGAATTGCAAATTTTATCATTGTACAAAATTGCCACATAAATATAAATAGTACATATGTTTGTCATTTACTAATACCCAAACAGCTTTCTTATATTTGAAAAATTTTCCGGACTCCACCAAAAAAGTTGTTTAAGAAACTATCATCATTGAAAACTCAAAAGTTGTTATATGTCGCGGCGGGTAGAAACCGCAGAAACGGAACAGCCAGTCATGGTCGGGGACATCTCAAACTCTATTCCGGGAGACCTATCGGTTCCTCGTCCGTCGTAGTGTCATAGTCACGACTTAAAGGGATGACAAGTGGTGCCACAGTTGCCTGTTGTAAGCCATCCCGAGACCAGTAACCTTGTTCAATGACGTTAGCTACCTTGTTGACACAGTTTTGCCAAGTTTCAGTCGTGATTTTGTTAAGGGATTCCTTAACCAAAACCTCTACGTCACGTAATCTAAAAATTGTGTTTGATCTGGCAATATCTCCTTTGACAATGCCCCATATCATTTCAATGGGGTTAAGGTCACAGTGATAGGGTGGAAGTAGCAGAATATCGTGACCCTTACTTATTACGTAACTGTCAACTTTGTAGAAAGGTTCACCTTTGTGGGGTTTTATGATCTCATATAGCTGAGGCTTCGTTGCCTTTGAAGGCCGTGCGATCTGAAATTTGTCGAGCCATGATATCATATGACCTTTTCGACTGTTCGATGTCAGGGCTTTACTGTCGGGGTCCTACACGCTGTGGTGTGGGGCATTGTCCATTACGATAAAAGACGTCTCTGGTAGAGCTGGTACCAACTTGTTTTTAACCCAATCGAGGAAAACCGCACCATTCATCTCGGATTGGTAGTCTCTGTTATTTGTGGACTTTGCCCTGAATACCAAGTCGCAGCCTGGGAGAAAGCCTTTGCTAGAGCAACCAGCATGGAGAATGATTAGTCTCTCTCCTTTCCCTAGAGGCAGCTTTCTACGTGACCCCTTATCACCCCCATTGGGTACCCACTGACTGCTGACAGTGTGCGAGGCATTGACCCAGGTCTCGTCCAAGTACACTGGCTCGAACCCTTCTTCGCGCTTCTTCTTTATAACCCTGAGAAAATTATTTCTCAAGCGAACGATATCAGGGCGTTCACAGAGTACTGACCTATTCTCCCCCGAAATCTTCTTATAACAATACCCGAAAGAGTGTAAGAGTCGCCAGAGTGTGTACTTTGATACTCTGAGGTTGTAGTTCTTGCTTCAAATGCTTTTTTTAAATTGTCAGCGACATGTATTTTTTTTCAGAATAGAGATTGTTGATAGACTGCCTTACAAGGTTCTTTTGAAAGTTGTCCAAATGTTTTAATTTGTGTGATTTTGACACGGCCCCTACCTGCTTCGCATCACCCTCACAATGTTTGTGTTCCAGAACATTTGTCAGTACCCTTGCTGATACTCCTAAAGCTTTTGCTGCCCGCTTACGGAATTTATTAATGGCATAACATGGTTTGCCCCTTTCGACTTCAGCACGGAAAAAATCGTACACTTTAATCATCAACTGTTTCACGTCAGCATTCAACTTCATTTTTCATCAGGCATGTGTATCCCGTGCACGACGAGATAGTGGCTGTTCCGTTTCTGCGGTTTCACCCCGCCGCGACAGATAACAACTTTTGAGTTTTCAATGATGATAGTTTCTTAAACAACTTTTTTGGTTGAGTTTGGAAATTTTTCAAATATAAGAAAGCTGTTGGGTATTAGTAAATGATAAACGTGTACTATTTTTACTTATGTGTCAATTTTGTACAATGATAAAATTTGCAATTCATCGGTCCGTTTCTGACTCAAACGGACTGGTACATAGGCTGATATATTCTTACGCGGGTCCACGTACGTGCTATACCAAGCATCAACCACAGCATACTTCACACGAAGACAGCAGCCATCTCTCCAACATGTTACTGAAGGACAAACACAGTGCATTAGTACAGGCTTACAATGAGGGCAGTGTCTGTGTGAAAGTGCCATCAAGGCTGATAAGTAGATACATCATGTCGATTAACACTGCATTTGAACAAACAATGACTGATAAGGCCTTTCTCAGTCGAGATGATACGTACTATGGGGTAATCCAGAGTAATCATATAACGGTTGTTTTTTGCTGTCTAGTTTAAAGGTGTAAGGTTCGGTGGTAGTCCGGTCATTGTCAAATCTTCGATTGAGAATGAGAATGCATAACGTCAGATTCAACACTCAGCACTGATACACTCTCGGCAGATGAACTGGGCACACAATATACATCGGACTCCACAAGCTAGACAAAACCCCAGTTCTTATAAATAAATAGTTGACCCAATGGTATCATACAATGTTTAATTTGGTTACATACATAATTCAGCGGATCAATGAAAACACACCTCCCACTGGCCTGTCTGAAAAACAGGAAACAATAGTCTTTTAGTAGCGAGGTATATTATTTTGGTTTATGTAAACGTCAGCTGTCAATAAATAGCTTGGATAGCCATGATGTAACCACCATCCAATTTGTGTCCCGTTTCAGTTGATGCTTGTATCAAGATGGAAATGACGAGAATATCGCTGCTGGCATTGTGTAAGTAGTAAAACTGACTTAAAACATTATTAGTTGTATTAAAATATTACATCACATGACTTATTATACAGGTCAGTCAATCTTGTCAGGAAGCTACCCCATGCTTATGGAATGATTAGATGGGATGAATGGGTATAGCGTGCATATTGACTGTAGTATGTATTTACTCCGAGTCGCCATGAAAAGCATCGGGTATATTGATTCAATGCAAAACATGTTTATGTTTTTTTACGATCTTGAAAATACGGCTTTGAATTTTAAGACTATATTATACAGATGGTTTGAACGCGAAGGCAAAGTATATATTTGGATAAAAGAAAATGTTATACTTGTGCAAGTGCAGAAAATATCTTGCTTCAATAATTAGTTTGATCCATACAGTATGTATACATTGCAACTGTGTGACGCCTCTTCGTTGTTCATGAAAACACTTCTCTGATAACAGGCTACCTGAATTATTACCGAAGTGATTTCCTCCATGTAGAATATATTTCTTTTCAAAGTGAAGACACAAAAATATAACATGTTTCAGTATTCTTCATGCATCAGTCATCAGCTGAGACCCACTGTTTCTGGTCATCAGACGACGGTCGTTGTACTGACTGTCACACAGGCTGGCATGGAGACAACTGCAGCAACAAGTGTTCCAGCAACTGCGACATCGGCGGCTGTCACAGGGACACCGGAATATGTAGACAGTGTGACGCTGGCTACCACGCCACCAACTGTACAGTAACTTGTCCCCCCAACTGTAGATACAGTCATGGTGACAAGCCCTACTGTAGTCGGGAGACAGGGCACTGTCTGGAAAACTGTCTGGAAGGCTGGTGGGGAAAGAAGTGTGAAAACAGATGCAGTGATGGATGTGAAGACGACTCCTGCTTCTTCTGGGACGGGTCGTGTGCTAGAGGATGCAGGGATGGTTGGGCCGGTGACAGTTGTGACACCAGGTGTCCAGTGGGGTGTCATGGTAACAAATGTGAGAGGTACGGCAGCCATAAGTGCACACAAGGATGTACACCCGGTGTTCACGGACATCACTGTGACAAGCAGTGTAACAGACACTGTAGACATCAGGACTGTTTCTATGACCACGGTATGAAGTCTACAGTCTGCAGACAGGGCTGTGTGGACGGCTGGATGTCCCTCGACTGCAAGATGAGGTGTCCAGGTAACTGTGAGGCATGTTCTCAGGAGACTGGGGAATGTTCCAGATGCAAGCCAGTCTACTGGGGATCTGACTGCACTAGTCCATGTAGTGACACGTGTTTCAACAAGACATGTGACAGAGGGGATGGGCGATGCTCTGGTTGTATACCCGGTTACTATGGAAACACCTGTGACACGGGTTGTGGGGCTGACTGTATGAGATGTCTCCAGGTAGACGACGGCTGTGGATGTAGGGAGGAATGCCACACGATGTGTCTGCAGCACCATCAACAGGGAGGGGCATGCAAAGGGGTACACGGAGGAGAGGAAATGTGAGCATTCAGAATTTAATACTCGAGATACAGACACGTCCTTAGACATGTCTATAGGTTTGTGTGATGCCAAAACATGATGCCAAAAGGCATGTGCTACTTTGAAACACGTTGACTATGTGTTAGGGTACAAAATGTAAATGTCAACAGAACGGTTTTTCAGTCGCAATATGTAAAATATTCCAAACTTTCCAGCAGATATTATGTCAGCATGTGATTCATACAATGTTTTGTAATCCTTCCATCTGCATTACCTTATCCTTTGTTCTTGGGTTCGTTATGTCCACCACTGTCCTCCCACATCTACCTGACATGCCGTCAGATGAGTGAAATAATTTGTATTAGTATTTCTTGATATTTCTTTTCTCTTGCAGACAAAACGAACGGATCACAGAGATGTGAAGCTGAAGACATACTGTTTACATTATCTGTAGGTCTGCTGGTTCCACATCGACTTCTTCAAGCCTTGAACTTGATATAACTATTAACACGGAAAAACTAGACAAAGTTGTACCAATATTTTATAACGATATGCGTTATTGAAAACTGGAAATATTACAGACTAACCGACTACGTTCCTCAATCTTAAACCTGCCAAGGGTCACATTGATAACGAGCATCGGACTTTTTTCTTCTTTTTTTTTCCAAGTCAAAGTCTTCTTATTGTCTATAGGCCACAGGCCGTATACAACATATATACAATTTTCACATACATTTACACATGTATACAATAACAAAGGTTGAGTTTACAACACATATATATGATGTCATAGTACATGGGGAAATCCTACAAAAATATATCTTACTGAATTGGGAGGTATTTTGATGCTCTAAGTTCATATGCATGGTATAAATATGTGCATAATTTTCTAGAAGTGTTTCGTTATTAGTAGTTATTATCTGATATACATTGTAAATATGTCTTATCTAACATGTGTTGAATATAGTGCCACAATTATTCTGACATGTCATGCTGTGTCTTGTGTCACATCCAATGTGTTGTGTTATATATTGCGCAACATCCGGCTTATTGTGTTGTATATTGTGTCTTATATCCAACCTATAATATGCTATTTATCAATGCCTGTACACATGTTCTCGTCAGCCATCATGGATCCGCGGTACCAGTTGTTTCCGTACCACAATTTACTCGTCACTCATAATGTACTGTATGACGTCATTTTTGTTTATTGAAATTACAGGACGAAATTTTAAAAGAACAGGGGGATACTATTAACACGGAAAAACTAGACAAAGTTTTACCAATATTTTATAACGATATGCGTTATTGAAAACTGGAAATATTACAGACTAACCGACTACGTTCCTCAATCTTAAACCTGCCAAGGGTCACATTGATAACGAGCATCGGACTTAATGCGGGACCAGTATCTCTAAAGCTAACAGAACCAAGGTGCATTACGTTTATCTGTCTTTACGGCTGTTTGTATTCCACGTTGGTCAAATCACGTGCGTGCCACATATACCTTCGTGGCATATTCTCGACTGGCCATCGATGCTTCGGTCCAACTAAATGACATAATCTCACGTTCACAATAACACCGTTATCGTAAGTTTTATCTGTAAACGCGATTATTCGCGATAGCTAGAATAAATATATAATACGGATGACAGTCACAAATGAGGGGGTGGCTGTCTAGTAAATTCACACGGGTCTCGGGTGTTGCGTGGGCTGGTTGTGCCACTGGTACCTCTGCTGAGCGAGTTGAAACTTCAGCTCGCTCTTAATAAGTGGCGGGGGACCGAAATAGGCAATGGCCACACACCAACCCACAAACATGGCAACACCTGACGCAGGACCGAGACGACCCATCCACAGACAACACAAGACTCCAACACAGAACCGGGCGGAACAGACGAGCAACTGGAGGATCCCGCAAACCAATGCCCCAGGTACCAACACTACAGGTACTCCTCCAGTCACTATATATGGGGTCCCAATTCCTACACGGTCCATATCGCAGTAAAGCACCGGTAGTTGACATGATGGACGACAAAGGCAGCGTCATGGCGGTCGTCATCATGGATCACAGAAGAAGATGACCAGAGGCAGAAGCCCAGACAACCCGGTCACCATCAAGATGTCAGCCGATAATCAGGACATCACCGGTAACCCAACATTCATGTGAGTGAACCAACTTTCAAGTTCAAGTCAACCTAGGCATACATCACGAATCATCTGCAAGTTTCTTCCGATGTGTGTGTGACAATATCTGTGAACTTTGGTTCTGACTCTCACCGTGAACTGTGTACGTGAACTTCTCAAGAACGTTCTTGTTTATGTGAGGTATGTTGTATGTTCTCAGGTCATTGTTTCTTTGTGTTCATATTTGTCATGTTTTCATATATAGAGTATGTATTGTAATCTATGTGATGTCATCAGACATACATCTTTATCAGATTAAGTTGTTGAAATCGGCTAGGTTCTTAATCTACGGTACGATCTGGTCACATCCTACGCCCTACACATGTACGCATTTAGTGCAGATCAACGTTATCTGCGGGATCCGAGTCTTCCCATACAAACCAGACTCCCGGTTTCAAGGATTTTTCTTATACTTTGTAGGTCTATAACCGTCACTATAGATAATAGCCTTGCATAAGCTATTCAATACAATATAATTTCCTGCTTACATTTTCATGTCATCCTTTTTGAACATGTGAGCATCAAATATACAAGTACTCATTGTGAAAGATATGGTATAGTAGTTCCCTGTCGTAACAGCTTCTGTACAAGAATACCCATGTTATGGAGACCCATTGCTAGGCATAGTCACCGAGCTATTAGTGGAGACTGTATACCCAGTCTGTATCGTACTACATGTACTTCGTTTCGCCTCTGTAAGTGAACTCTTAACTATGATACCGGCGGAAGTAAGTAACTTCGGGTCCCTGGCTCACATAAACGATTCGTAGAAATATCGTCGAGCCAAATTCACTTGAATGAATTTTTCATTATACGTCAGTTTAAGCTTTTGAAGTTGGTTAGGTTCCCTTCTCTTCATGTCCTTACTTTGTTTAGGGCAGATCACAATATCTGTAATATCTTAGCCTTGCCGAGTCTAGGCTCACAATATAAGACTCTTAACTTCAAGGATCTTACTGCTATCAAGAAAATATTACATTCATATGCAAACGACGACGCATTGCGCACATTATGTTTTTGTCCTGTATGTCATATATGTACTTATCAGTCAGGTATTCCGACTATATGGTCAACCGCGAGCAGGATTTTGCCGCTCGGTGGAAACGTCCAGTGTTTTGTTTGTACGAGCTGTAAAGCCGCTCACCGGTGTTTTGTGTGTACACGTCGGAAATTCCGTTGAACTTGTTATTGTTATATTTTGCTACGCCGATGTTGGCAATTCGACTTATGTGTTTACTTGTACGTTCGTGTATATCTTATCTAAAACCATTACGATCATTTGACTATTTATCAATGCCTGTACACATGTTCTCGTCAGCCATCATGGATCCGCGGTACCAGTTGTTTCCGTACCACAATTTACTCATCACTCGTAATGTACTGTATGATGTCATTTTTTTATTGAAATTTATTGAAATTAAAGGACGAAATAACACGGAAAAGAACAGGGGATACTATTAACAAGGACAAAACTAGGACTTAATCCGGGACCAGTATCTCTTAAAGCTAACAGAACCAAGGTGCATTACGTTTATCTATCTTTACGGCTGTTTGTATTCCACGTTGGTCAAATCACGTGCGTGCCACATATACCTTCGTGGCATATTCTCGACTGGCCATCGATGCTTCGGTCCAACTAAATGACATAATCTCACGTTCACAATAACACCGTTATCGTAAGTTTTATCTGTAAACGCGATTATTCGCGATAGCTAGAATAAATGAGGGGGTGGCTGTCTAGTAAATTCACTCAGGTGTGTAACTTTACTTTCTTCAAGTTCGAGAAGTATTTACCATTTCTGTTGTGTGTTAACGTTTACTGGACATTTCTTTACTATTTGTTACCCTTCGCACAACAGTTAGATGTATGTGGAACGAGGCATCCCTTAGTATGTGTCTCATATCTTCTGTATTGCAGTTTAGGATTGTGTATTTCATACTGATTGACACTACACTGTTTTGTGACTATTATACAATGTATAGAGTGTGTCGGATATTTTAACTATTGTATTACGTTGTGAATACAATATGCTGTTTGGGACCGTTACAGAATGTAAATGGTATGAACCCCAACTGGGGTGATGTGTAGTGTACTGAACTATTGTTGTGTACATTGGAATATGTATCGCGATTAATGCAGTATGTGTCGTGTATAACGAATCTACATGTGACGTTTATGTACTTTGATATCTGATTGCTTGTGAACATGTTCTAATAATTAATTGTAAACTATGCTATTATTGACTGATTATGTAAAATCGTTCAGTGACTGCTGTGTAATAAACTCCTTGTTTATTTACTCAGGTGTTGTGTTGTGTGTGGGTTGGTATGGGCAGACCTCTTGCCAAGCGAGCAGATTCCCCAAAACTCGCGTTTTAATATAACCAACACGTGACATGTTCTGGTGACACCGGACGGTTTGCCGATATTCTTCACCACAAGTCATGGCATCAATGACCCTTCTATGGAATCCTGGAAGGGACATTGTCGCGTTGTCGCATTATCGCGTTGTCGCCCTCTCAAATACAAGCAAAATGAGGCAAAATTAACAAAAGCGCAACACGCGACAACGCGACATTTCGACCCATTTGTCGCACTGTCGCTAAGTCGCATTGTTGCCCTTTGGAGGAATAGAAAAATATTATTCCAAACGCGACAATGCGACAAACGGGCGTCAGTTATATACATGTTTTTATCAAGTGGCGAGTAGCACATTGTGATATCGCAAATTAATATACAGTTATAAAACTGTTCGTAGTGTTTGCTTAGTCAGAGACTTACTGACGTATTTAAAACTGCGTATGCCATGTATGACGTTTATGTGAGTGCTTGAGCGATGTATTCTGGCCACACACGTCATGTATTCCACATAATGAAACCCTCACACAGTTCTCCTGTTAACCTTTGATCGATTTTGAAACGTGGAAGATCAAAGGCGGATCCAGTGTGTGCGTACGTGTGTGCGTGAGCGTATGTGCGTGCGTGCGTGTGCGCGCGCAGGGGTGCACCCTCCTTTCGTCCTACTAATTTATTAACTGACTATTTGAAAACGTCAAATTTGGAGAATTTGGAGAATTGTACACGGCTATACATAATACACAGTGATCAACCAACACATCTTTAACAACCGTTATATATTATTGTTATGTACTGATGATCCTAATTTACTGCTTTTTATTAAACATCCGTGTCACAGTTGGTCTTCGGCAACCCATGCTTGTCGTAAGAGGCGACTGACGGGATCTGGTGGCCAAACGTGCTGACTTGGTTGACACATGTCATCGTATCCCAATTGCGTAGATCGATGCTCATGATGTCATTGGATTGTCTGGTCCAGACTCGATTATTTACAGACCCCCGTCATATAGCTGTAATATTGCTGCGTGCGGTGTTGAACA